ACTTGAAACATTGTGAGTGATGTCTACATTCTTACAAAAGGAGAGAAGAATATTAATGTGGGAAAGAACGAAAATGTCGAATTACCTCACTCACAGGTATTTTGTGGTAGATTATGTGTGTTTTGCGAATAAATGTAACCAAAAATAAACTGTATTGGTGCCACGGATACCTGTTAGTACAAAATGCAGACAGCAGACTGCAGACCGGATACAAAATATAGACTGCAGACTGCAGAGTGGGTACAAAATGCAGACTAAGAATCTGAAGAGTTTTTACGTCTGGTATATAATTACATGCCATCTTACAGCTTACCGAGCGTCACGCAATCGGTTTTCTGCAACCGCCTTCACGATTATTTGCACTATTGTGGAATATTCCTGGCCCATTTCTTGATGAAAATCGATCGCAATATTATTTCAAGCCTTCAATATAGTCTTCTTACTTTGCGCGCGAGTTGGTTAATGTGATGTCTGTACAGATTTTATCAACGTAATAAAATTAGATGATGTGAACAACAGTGATGGTAAAGCAAGCTTAAAACGGCAGAAATCGCCAGAAAATACAACGGATACACAGGGTATGAGTAAGTTTTTATTGACTTTACGAGAAAAATGTTCATATTTTGAAATATGCATAGTTGTAAATCGACCATACTTCGTTCCCTGTACTATTCCTTATAACGTGCAGTTCCTCTCGTAACTTAACACTGAGTCACACAACGCGTGACGCGTTCATGAATTAATCGTTGGCTTTTTCTCGAGACGTGAGCTTGGGCCGCTTGTGACAAGACAATTGCGTAAACAATATTTAACATAACAACATTATACACAAAAAAATACAGGGTTTTGAATCACGTATTTAGTAGAAAAGAATATCCATACAACTACAATGAAAACAAACGTAAGATTCACCTTTCTGATCGTGAAATTAATACCATTCGTACTGTTATCGTAGCTACGTTCCTTGCCATCAAGTGAATCCAACATGTCGTCTTTCTTCACAAGCAGTTTGCATCCCATATAGTTATGTTCTTCAGTCTCACGGTAGTAGCGTTGTTCAATAGATTGCATAGAGTATATGCGGTTTGGTTTCAGATTTCAGATTTTGCTTTTTACAACAAGGGAACGTTTTTCAACTAAGACATTGGCATACTTAGCATACAAGGCATTCAAGGCTTTTAAGCGTTCGCGACTCAATCCGTTCCAAAATTACCGCTCAATAACATCTTTCAGTGTGGATTAGCAGCGATTAATACGACTTGTATAAGCGTCTGTAAGTATTTTGCGCGTTTGCACTATAATGCTCCAGGCGATCGCAATCCAAATACGTTGAAGTACAAAACAACTGACCAAAGAGTTTTATAAGCAAAATCTCGTCTGTGCATGACAACGTCAATCATCATCAAGATAACACGCGTGATCAGCATGTGAACACCTCATTGGATCACAGTTAGTTGTCATGGTGTTGAGGGATAACACGCGTGATCAGTATGTGAACACCTCATTGGATCACAGTTAGTTGTCATGGTGTTGAGGGCCCAATGACCTCTGGGTACTATTGCGCAATTTTTCCATTTTGTGGCGGAGGAAAAAAACAAAAAAAAAGACGACAAAAAAACAAAGGCATTTTATGACTGGGCTACCACAGGTATCCCAGTAAAAAGACAAAAAAACAAAGGCATTTTATGACTGGGCTACCACAGGTATCCCAGTAAAAAAAAAAAAAGACGACAAAAAAACAAAGGCATTTTATGACTGGGCTACCACAGGTATCCCAGTAATAACTTCTGATTATTTGTCCATGACAAGTCTCTGGAAAGTTATATGAGTAAAACTACTCTTATTGCAAAATAAAAACTTGGTTTTGGATTCACAATGATATTTCAAGACAGAGCCGTTATGATGAAATCATTGCAAACGTAATACATCGAAAACGTTCATTCCAACTTGCGTTGAGGCCGAGACCACGTAGTAAAGATCATTAACGCCATACACTTTTTCCAGAAGAAGGAAATTGAGTTTCAATGAAATTATATTTTTAGAACAGGAACAGTGTCTCCACTGTCATTAAGGAGACTGACAAGAGGCGTTATGATGGCTGTCCGATATACACCTACATAGAGGAGAATTCAACAGCTGCCTCGGGATTACGATCTTTCTTCAGTTGTTCCATGTACGATTCTTGGCAGTTTATCTCTGTAATGAATAAAAAATCGATAAAGCAGATTAAAATGGAAACTTGGTTTTGGATTTTTGGCTGGTCTCTCTCCATTCTGACCATAAGTGGAAATGGATCTATTATCTTCCTTGTTTGCAGCAGACGGCGGCTCCGAACCAAAACCAACGCGTTTGTCGTTTCTGGCGGATTTCCTTGTTGGATTGAGCACTGTACCTTCATTGTTCTTCTGCCAGGAAGAAGGCGATTGTAACGGGTTATCTAACGACTTGAGGAACTTATTCCCATACGCCTTAGTGGTAAACCTGTGCACTTTAGTCCTGGAGCGTTATGTTGCCGTTGTAATGCCTTTCAAATATTCGACTTTTATGAAGCGTCGCCGCGTTTTCCTGGTGATTTTCATCTCTTGGGCGATTCCAGTTATTACTGCTTTGGCTTTTTTCAAAAGGGATCGGCTTTGTCTAGGCCAATGTTTATTATATGACATAATTATTTCGATGAACATATTTTTTTTGGCGTTTCTACCATGCTGTGGACTTATCTTTTGCTTCGCTTCAATGTTACTTGTTGTTAACAAGCACGAACGAGCAGCTCGCGTCTTAGCAAAGCAGCTCCACTTTAATCATCTATTTCTGTTCAAAATCCAGGAGAAATCTGCAGTTAAAATGATGGCAATTGTTATAGGAATTTTCCTTCTGGCGAACACATTTGCTTTACGATGTGGTTTTATATTATTATTCAAAACAGGAAAAACATGTGATGATGAAGGATATAAAATACCCATCCTTATTTTAAACTCTGCTGTTAACCCCATTGCGTACGCCTTCTTCAAGCGGGATATAAAGAAGGAGATGACAAAATGTATTTTCTGCGTCATCTAGATAAAGTAATTCAACTTTTTCAGCTAATCCAAGAAATCTGCACAATTTGTTTTTTAAGTTTTCATTAATAGCTTGTCAATAGGCGTTGATGATTAAGGAACTAAACAAAATTGTATTCCAAGATCACCTCTAAAATGAAGCCGCCTTTGTTCTCCAATTTGTTCAGTTCACACCTCAGTGATCTTTTCATCTATAACCGTTTCCCTTTCCTCTCTAGTTTACCTCATTCGAGTTTGTTTATCAGTTATTTTTAGGTTCGTGTGTATCTGAAAGTACCCTTTAAAATTCTTTACCGCACAAGTGGATGCAAACTGATTGTGAAGAAAGACGGCATGTTGGATTCACTTGATGCCAGGGAACGTAGCTACGATAACAGTGCGAATGGTATTAATTTCACGATCAGAAAGGTGAATCTTACGTTTGTTTTCGTTGTAGTTGTACGGACATTCTTTTTTAATAAATACACAATCCAAAATCATGTGTTTTTTTTGTATAATGTTATTATGTCAAGTATTTTTTACGCAATTGTCTTGTCACAGGTAGCCCAAGCTCACGCCTCGAGAAAAAGCCAACGATTAATTCATGAACGCGTCACGCGTTGTGTGACTCGGTATTAAGTTACGAGAGGAACCGTTGAAAATTTGAACAATAGTATAGGGAACGAAATAAGGTCGATTTACAACGATAAATATTTCGAAATATGAAGATTTTTCTCCTAAAATCAATAAAACTCACTCATACCCAGTGTATCCGTTGTAGTTTCTGGCGATTTCTGCCGTTTTAAGCTTGCTTTACTATCACTGTTATCATCTACTTTTATTACGTTGGTAAAATCTGTACAGACATGACACCAACCAACTCGCGCGCAAAGTAAGAAGACTATATTGAAGGCTTGAAATTATATTACGACCGATTTTCATCAAGAAATGTGCCAGGAATTTACTACGCTACTCTGATGAAGCTTTCACCGGTAAATAAACTTACAGTTCATTGAAATCAAGGGATCGATGAGGCAATCTCTTAGCCGTGGATATTATCAGCTGTCTTTCCAGCCGCCTGAAGAGGTTTATTTACAAAATGATGTCACTCATGTACAGAACTTTTGAGTAACACCTACCGAATAATTTCTGATTGCTAGATAAGGCCGTTACTCTTGTCAGAAGAAACACAAAGGAGATCGAAACCTTTTTCCCGCAATTTTAATGCTGCTCACAAAAAAAAAAGCAATAGTCTCGCGCGAATAAGCGTGCGCTCTGATGTTGAATCTGTGATTGATATTTACTGTTCAGGATCTTACATTGTATTCTGTCCTAGTATGTTGCATTTTCAGTGTATGATATCACTCTTTTCATCGAGGGGAGGAGTAGGGAGGTGGTTAGGGTAAGGGTAAGGGTATTATTGGTTCTGATGCATTGTGTGAACGTCAGAGCCTGATATTTATAGTTTCTTAAGTCCTGCGCGAAAGCTTGAGGCCTTGTGTGCTATAGGTTTTGTTCTCAGAGTCTATTTTTGGGATCCGATAGAGTAGTCTCTTTAAATCTTAAAGCATGTTACAATATTTTCAATCTATCATACCTTTATGTCATGGGTTTACTGTATTGTAGGAAAATGCTGGGGCATGGGGTTTTTGTAGAATTGTTCGAGGCCGATTTCGCTGTTTCTCCCGAAAAAGCTCTATCAGCGAGATACTCAAGAAGGATGGAATGGCCTTGTGGAATTGGTCTTTTGTGGCTTGAGAAAACATTCTCAACTAAGCTCTATTGACTGGATGGTTGTGGGATACTATGCAGTCCTCTTGCCAACAGCAGAGGGTAAATACGTTGTTGGTTAATCTGACCTAGATTTGCTTTCACCTTTGACTGAATGAAATGATTACTAAAGAAAAGTAATGTAATAATTATGCAAAGATCATCGCAGTTAAAACCTTAAACTAACCTTTATTAAAACATTAAACAGCTTTTCAAAATAATCTGTTTCTTAGGCTTGGTTAAAGTATTGCTTGCGATGTTTAAAAAAATGAAACATTGGAAAAGATATTAATAACAGCTGCTTTAGTTTCTGTCTATAGCTACAAAGTTCAACAACAACTATGAAAACTGCATCTTTTCATTCTAATACAGCAAAGCCATTAAAGTGCATGCGATAAGAGCAGTAGCACTGACTTTCTGTAGTGTGGCAACGTTACACAGGTCACCGGAGCAACAATCCAGATTACACTTTCCCTTGCCTTTACAGAAGCCGATTGTGCTCAGGTCAGTATCGCAAGCTTCTTTAGTCATACAGCCTTTGCCATATTCTTCAACGGATGCACCTTCATCTTTTACGTGTGCAGATCCTTTGAAGCAGCGATCGTATCCGGCAGGACAATCCATTTCTGTTTTGATGTCCTTGCAGTCATCCCAGCCTTTGGTGGTCAAACATTTGTAACACTTCAAGCCGTATCCTAAGGTAGGAAAAGATATTTTTAATTCATTGGTAGTTCTTCAGATCTGGTTTCAGTTGTGAAATGTTATGCGAAATTGTTTCCAAAGTTATATTGAAATAGCTGCATGTTATTCACTTTGATTCATACAGATTTTTAGATCCTTTCAAGAGAAAAAAATGGGACTCGTGATTCTGTCTTAAAGTTGAGATGAATCATCATGGAATTACTTCTTTAAAACAAAGGAGAACAAACAACTTATTGGGTAACATTGTGGTTTCTTCGTCTTTCCATCTTCAATAAGATGGGTTATGGCGACGACAGTGCGACACAACCGGGACGAGAAATTACCGCTAGAAAGTGAATGGTTTTAGGTTAAGTATCCTCATCTTCTCAAATATTCTCGCGATTAGCGTATTTCGAAACATCATTTGTGATGTACGCCCACAACGAAATTTACACTCAATACGAAAATTAGCAGTTGCCTCTCCAAGCATACGTTCAAATAAAACGGAAAATAAAGAATTCTGTAGCGACAGCTACAGAATTTCATCGACGCAATGCTGCTGGGAAAAAAATGAAGAATTGACTAATAAGCACTTTGTTGCGCAATTTTTTCTGCCATATCTTAATCAGTCAATTTACTGCTTTCCCATGGCGAGCAAGACATAATTGACGAGGCTGGACTCAAAATATCCTTTGAATTCGTCAGTTTGATGTTCAGTTAAATAACACGCTAGAAATGGGCGCTGGCTGAATGTAAATTACTTGTATGTTTTACAGGATGTTAAGTGTAAATGCGTAAATAGTCGCGCCTAATCCCTCAATTTTCTTTATGCCGAGAACCGTGCACTAATTCTAATTAGTAAATTCCGAACAAAACCAGGTAATGAAGGAAAATTGAAGATATAAACCGACCACAACTCGTCGTGCGCCAAGAGCCGAGCGCGTGCATTTTACCCAAGCTTGTAACTTAAGCAACAGTAAAATTGGTCGGTGAAAAAAGTAGGGGTTGAGTTCAAACTTACCAACAGAAATGCAGAGGAAAAAGGTAATGACGAAAAGTAACTTCATCTTATAACTTGAATGCCTCTCCTTTATTTTCGTCTGGAACGCCAAAAAGTAGATTGTATGATGAAGTCGGACGCCCTGTGATGAAGCTCAAGGACTAACCTTTACTTTTTCCGATAAAATTATGATTAGATCCAACCAATCGTAAGGATTGATTTGATTATCTGTCATGATTTGTAACCAATCGCATTTCATGGGCGGGCTTCTTATTGTCTGATTGATAGGCGTCTTTCTTCCCAGAAAGATGGAGCTTTTCCGAGAATTCAGGAAGTTGATTTTCTATCACGAAACAAGAGCTTAATTGTTTTGGTCTCCAGCAAAGTAAACATGACACGCCATACTGCAGTTCTGAGTGTTAGTAAATGACTCGACCCTTTTCCTATTTTTTCAATGTTTTTGTCCAAGCTCTTGGCAAGCGTTAACTTCAGAACATTTTCATGTGTGTGTCGATGTTTTTAGGACTGTGAAATTTTCAAGGTTCTGCCGCTACATTTTTACAGGTCAAGAGGTCTTTTTCGCGGAAATATTTTGAAAATAGAGAGTGTTTTTCTGAGAATTGACTGCTTGAATGAGTTTGTTAGCTAGATGGTTCGATTAGCAACAGGCCCACTGGACCCCACTTAACTGATTTTGTCTAAATGTTGTTTACTTTGGTAGCTTCCGTACATGTACATTGTGTCGGTTGATATACACGTTTTGTGACGTTATACGTCATAAATCTATTTGCACCTTGAGGTACAGTTTCCTAATTGGAATATCTTACCCCGACATAAAAAAACAACCGCCGTTTGTCGCCCCTGCTCTTAAGCCCTTGTCTACTCTGTGGTTCAGTCTGGAATAAGCGGCTAACCCAGAAGCCCCTCTTTTAGTACCTAGACCTTCGCGTCATGAGCTTCATGACGCGAAATGGTTGAAGGGATAAACACAGATACCCTGAAGGCAGTACACACTCACCCTTGTTTTCGTCATTCACATAAATTTTAAGCTTACCGATATATTCACTCGCCTACACAATCTCTTCCGTTCGTTCCACGGAGTAGAGTGATGATAGCTTGCTCATTCTGAAAACGAGATAACTTGGTTTTATCAGCTGAGTTGATAAATGTTAATTGGGCATCTTATAGAATTTATAGGCTAGCATTTCGAGCATTAGCCCTTCGTCTTTCACTCCTAATAGCCTCTTTGTGAAATTCAGCTCACGGATCGTTAAGCTATCCACCGAATCATGACAAAAAAGAGCACGTGGAAACAAAGAAAAATAACGGTTCAGTTACCAAAAGAGACCATGGAAAAACAAATTCCAAAAGAAGGCTCAATTGGCGACCAAGCCTCCCCTCACCCCTTGCCTCTCTTTGTAGCCACGAAGGAGTAGGAGAATAAATCGCCGATTTAATTTGAACTCGCAGCGTACAAGGTCACCTCTTGACTAATTGCTAAGAGCCATCAGTATTGTTTGGACCTCGTATAACACTCTTCGATTCCTATAAATTTTTTTTTTCGATAATTATGCATGAATAATGAAGTTCACTCAAAATGTTGACACAGTGCTTCTTAAACCCTCAAACGTGATAGACATGGTAAAGTCCTACCGACAAAGGAAAGTGGAATTAAAAAACGAAACAACGTGGAACTGAGTCAGCTAATGTAATTATCGACAATGCAAGCGAAATGTCAAAGTCATCAACGTTAATTGCACTTTCATTGTCGAACAGAAACCAAAGGCCTACTAATTTTGCATCGGGGTAGGGTCATGTCGATCGGAACAGTTCAATAATTGTTTACTTCGCTTTGTCAAAATTACGACCCGCCGCAGAGTAACACTCATATTGGATACTTCCATCGTGGTTAGGGAGAGTTATTTTTATTAGTCACTTCATTCAGGTGAATATTAGAGCATCTGCATGTCGTGTTATCCTCTTCTTTAGACATTTCAGCAAGTATTATGCAAAGTCCATATAAAAACTTATCATAATAAACTCGTGCGGAGCCAAGAAAGGCCAAGGTACGACGTGGTTCTCAACCAATCAGAGTGCCTCTATTATCCGACCTGAGTGATTTTACTTAAACCAAAATATTCCTAGAAAAAAAAACGTTTTCTGAGAATCAGCAGCAATCAGTAAACAAAACCTGGCGAAAAAACCAAATAGAAGCCCATTGAAAATGCAACACATCTGGAGGATGAATCACCAAACCAACGTTTGGAGGAGGCTTCACGTTCGTGGTGATTGAGGATACGGCGGCAAGGATGACAATTTCATCTACACATGAGACATAAAGCAAAGTTAAGGGACAAAAAAAATTAAAATGAACAGCAAAGATAATAGAGATGCTACGAGAGGTTTTTACCTAAATTACAAAAAAAGTACCCCACCGTAGTCCATGGAGGCACCTGACAGGCACGTCTAAAATACCTCTCCATTTGATGTCCAACATAGAAGGTATTTGTAAATAAAATAAGATAAAATGTTTTTTCGTCTTGTCACGAGCGTGGTACATAAAAAATTCCGAGTCCCATGAGGAATCGAACCTCAAATCTTTGGATTCCGCGCTCCCTATTTCGTTTTATTCGAAGTTGATACCGTGGTCTAAAACAAATCGGCAGTGGTTTAGCATGGTCTGTACTCTTATCGACAACAATATTCGTTATCAAAGTACGTGACTAAAATTTGTCGCGAATTCGCTCGGCTGCGCCTCGTGAGTCCACAACATTTTGACCTCCGTGATGACGACTTTCACTGTCGATAAGAGTACAGACCGCGCCAAACCACCGTCGATTCACTAATTTGGCAAGTTAGTCTTGGATAAATTCGAGCGTTCTGATTTGTTCTTACTGTATTTTCTGTATTTTGCGGTACGGGCCGTTTCCATGGACACGGTCATCATCCGCGTATTTTGGTCGCGTACGCCGGCAAATTAGAAAAAAAAAGTCTGATTCGAGTGCCATACAATTAAAACACTTACTAACGTCGCTTTCTCGAGCCGTACTGCATGGGAATATTGGGCCTCAGTCGTTTTTGAACGGACCTGGCTACGTTTGGCCCATACTGCCACGACTACGAGCCAACATTCCCTGGTACTGCGGCCCGTCGCGTTCGGTTGTTGGAAAGTCGGTACTTTGCATAACACAAACATGCACAAGGCATAAGGCTTGGGCTAACAATGCAAATATAAGTGACTAAAGAATTCAGTAACTCGTCAGCCGATGCGCTTTTGCTGCTCATTACAGACTAAACATTTCAAAACACATTTTTTATTCTAGTCAACATGGGAGCTTACATTGTCACAAGACATGCTACAGGACGCTGAAATCTTCAATCTAGCCACTCAATGGATGAGGCCAATGAATACGCATGTCAACATCAGGAAGGTGCTGATCATTAAAACTACCTTACTGCCGTTGCAAAGATCCGTAAAACAGCATTTGAACGAGCACTCCGTCCCTTTGGCCTCCATGCACGCTTTCAGCTTGGAGATGCCTGAACCATTACAATGCAAATGAAAAGTACAATCTCTCTGGTAATAATTGTATTCATAACCGCTGACAGACTTGTACTCTTCGGTCTGAATGGCGCAGTAATTGTTTGGCGAACATTCTGTTTCCTTCCTGTTGTTGTTGCAATCGTCCTGACTTCTGTAGCTTCCACATTTGTAGCAGTTGATCCCAAAAGCTGTGATAAAGAAGCCACACATCAATTAAATATACATTCAGAAATCATAAAATCTGTATGACTGAAGACTATTTTTCTGTAAAGCACGAGGAGACTTATAATGATAATAACTACAATTTAAATAGCACCAAAATCCATAATTTCTAAGGTGCTTTACAGCATTAAAATTAAAAATCAAACGGATAAAAAAAGTATATAATTTGTCTCCAAATACAAGTCAAGAAAAAAGAATTGTTTTTGAAAAACAAATGGATCATCGGAATGAAATATTCAACCGATTACGTAGAGATCGTTTTCGTGTGAAAGAGAAGGAGCTTCTCTGTTGAGGGGCAATTGCGTCATGTCTCGTGAAACGCGAGAACGTTATTTCTACTTTTTGTAGAATGTCGATCAAGAATATTTATTGTGGAAGTGTAGTATAAACTCATGATCAACATTATGAAGGAAAAAAGTCCTTAACCATTAGGAAGTAGCTACCACCGCCATAATACAGTACTGGTCGAAAATACAGCCATTCCGTCAATTTAAGAACCATTTCACCTTGACGTGTTTAAAACTAAAAATTCAGAAATTCTCATTAAGGGCATTTTAACTTTTATTGTCAGTTCCCTGCTGCCACATAATTTTCTTCCCTTCTTTCCTCCTGAAATTTCTTTTTAAAGAAAAAAACCAGCTCGTATGATTACCGGCGTGGGGGAGCCAATGTCAAGAAATGATTTGGGATCTCTTTTCTGAAATTCTCCAGGGGGTATCGTTATTTGAAAAGTTTGGCGAACAAAAGGAAATTGTGTTTTTCAAGTTGTGTATTCATAAAATGTAGGGAGTTTTAAACATCTGTTATAGAGCTTCTTAACAAAATTTCAGAATTCGAAAAATTTATGACTGAAAAATCAGCAAGGAACGTAACTTTAAAGATATGTGTAAGGCTAGACAAAGTTTGTCGAGCTGCGAGGCGACAAATTTGCAACTAAATTGAAATGCTTTGAAGACCAGGTTTAGTTTGAGATCCTATATCCAGATAAAGCCTGGCGTCATAACTTCTCTGAATTAACAAACACATTGGTCACTCACTTACCAACAGAAAGGGTTAGGAGAAATACAACATAAGAAATCAACTTCATCTCGTTATGCTTGAATAGAATAGTCACCTGATTCCTCAGTATCACCCCTGAGGCCCTACAATATGTTAGAGCTTTAGTAGCGCGATGAGGCTGGGCAAAGGTGTCAATCAATTTCAAATGAGAAGCTTAAACGAGCCATTCAGAGACAAAAAACAAAACACTTGACCAATATGCCTGGGCAATTACTCCTGCTGACCAAAACCGAGGAGAGAGATTTCACCGCAAAAACAGATAGTACTTTTGAAACAGAGCAAAGGCTAAAATGAAAGAAAAAAAAATTAAAAATGCCGTACCCATTCACTTTTTCCCCAAGAAAAGCAGCATTTGATGAGAAGAAGATTTTTATTAGACCTGTCTGTCCTGTCGTTTGTATAACGTTAACGTTATACAAACGTTATACAAACGTTATACAAACGTTATTCCTTACATACAGGGTGTTACTGAACCCATCAAGAGAATTTTGAATAGCCACAACGTTAAAGTTGCTCAAAAACCTTTTCAGACTTTGGGGCATATTTTCGCCAAACCTAAGGATCCTGTCACGAAAGAACAACGAACCGACGCCATTTATTCTATTCCTTGCAATGACTGTGATAACGAATACATCGGACAAACCAAACGCCAGTTTGGTACACGGTTAAAAGAGCACCAAAAAGCGGTTTTTCTTTGCAAAAAGGAAAATTCAGCTTTATCGGAGCATACTTGCCTAACCAACCATACAATTGGGGGGGATAATTCTAAAATTATCACTACTAATCGGCGTTACCACCAGCGCCTTTGTTTGAGGCTTGGCACATTAACTCCGCCCACGCTCCTTTAAATCGTGACGATGGCGGTCTGCTTCCTGACGCCTATTTACACCTCGTCAGAAAAAAGGCCGCTAATTAGTGATCATATAAAAGGACCTCTTGTTGCAGCGTTTAGATCACCCCTGATGAAGGCACTAGACAGGAGTGTCGAAACGTTGGGTCTATGAATTGTAACTTCTTCGGTTACATTCATTAAATCTGCAAACCAGTGTAGCTTCAAACTATGTCTGATTGTCCACCTGGTTGCCGTGTGAACTTTAATATATAAGATTTTTATTATCAGTACTGCAGTTCGTCGTATCCATTTATCGATTCATAAAACTACTGGGTGGTGTAAAAACAAACAAAACTATAAAAAAACAGCTGGTCCGCGTTTCCGTCATACATTTACAATTTCCGAGAACTGAGTAGAAAGAAATTGAAAAACTGAGCGTTGAGGCTTACAACCGTATCAAACCCATGTGCAACGGAATAAGCCTTGCAGGAGGCAAAATCGATCCTGACAGTTGTTCTTTCTTTCTTCGTCATATAACAGTAAGTGCAGTCATTCTTCAGTTTAGGTTATATACAGATATTTTTCGGTCAATAGCGTTATCCACCCTTAGAACAACGGGTCCAGGGGGAAACCAAGTAAATGGCCTACAGCGGTATCCGAGCCATCCAGAAAGTAAAGGGATCCAGTCAAACCTCAATTATCCCGAATCGTTTCTCTGGTCCCAATTTTTTATGAATATTCCTTAGTCACATTTAAGGTCCGTAACAATTTTTTATCCATCAACAAAGCACATGCATGAAAATTTCGCTAGAACCAGGAGCCCGTTACTCCTGGCTAGAACTGAATATTCTTCGGCTTTGAACACAAATCAGCACAAGTTTCATGATACAAACGCCGCAACTATGCAGCGCATTTCACCTATAAGCTCTTACTGGCTCAGATATATTTTGTCGCTAAGTGAAATATATTCTACTCTCCATTACCTTAAATGGCATGAGGACACGAGCTCAGTGTAGTGTCTGGGCTCGATTTCCGTCGTCTTCTCGTTTTCTCGAGTCCAGTCTTCGGGAGTGGGGAGGGGGAGGGGTTAGCGCAGGCTCATTTCTAGACCAGCGGCAGGTAATCGAGCCCACTGTCAGTGTCCTGTCCAAACGAAAGGACGAAAGTCAAGATGACTGGCAAACTGTCACGAGCATGCAGAAGTTTTTAAAATGGATGAAAAGAGTGCAGCTTCAAAGAACGATATATCAGTATAAAATTGTTGGTCCATTAGTGACGTAACGGAACTTAGCCTCTATCAAGCTGCAGTACTCTAATGACATCTTATCAGAGGAAGAGCCCATGAAAATTTCCATTTCTCACTCCCATATCGCAAATCGCTTTGTTCTTCCGTTTTAACTCCTAAGACGCCTGAAGTCTTTGTAATTACCGACGCCGCCATCGTCAGTTATCATGAGATAAATAGTTTAAAGGAATACAGTCAGTTAGACAGAATTTGACGCAACGTGTTTACTAAAAATATCTTAAAAAAGACAGAACAATTGGGAGAATTTTAGAAACGTAAATAGAAACAAGATATGCAAAGAGTATTGCCTAATTCAGGCTCGTAGATAAAGAAAGAAAAGAGTTACCTAAAGCTGATGACGGGGATTAGTGCTAATATTCCTAATCTCTGCTGGCAACAATATCATGAATTAATTACGAAATAACTGTTTTGAAACACTTGTCTCGATATAAGGTCAGTACAAGTATTTTGCTCATAATTTTCCTTCGCTATTAGCTGTCTTTGTGGCTTTTGATTTCAGTTCTCGGTGAAATGTGTTCTGCGGCAACAAGAACAATGGGTGCTTTGTCGATCTCCATTACTCTTCTTCTCTGCATCTCCACAGGTAGGCTTGGAAAGAAACATGTAAAATTCACGCAGCTTTTTCAAATAAATGTAATGTCTGAGCAGCAATTTTCATAATGGATTTATGTCTTCATCCTATTTCAAATACCGTTATTCTTACATGAATGTTCAAAGCAATTTAGAGGTTACATTTGCCGTTTAGAAAGCTGGCTTATTAAAAAAAAAAACTCCAAACAACATGAAAAGTCACTCCAGTGAAATGGGGCAAAAGAGAACCTTTCTGTCTTGCTACCGGGCTACACAATATTATAATAGGTGATCATTCTTCATAAATTGACATTTAAAAGGTCTGATATATTTCCCGGAGCATTTGCTTAATTCTCACGATTTTTCTTTTCAGTTGCGAACTTGAAAAGTGTCACAGGAAATTTATGTATTTAAGTATTGTTATTTTGACTTTCACAAGGACAAAGTATTTATAAAAGGATCTCTACAACGGATCGATTGGTATGAAAATGTCCTCGTCAAACCTTAATCATGCCCCTTAATAACCACACCTTTGATACAAACCAAAATACTGACAAGCCACTTGTGATATTCAGAATTTATGCAAAAACATTCCATCGTTTGCATACTAATTTTTTTTTTTTTTACGGCGACAAAGTACGTGCGCTCAAATGTTACCAATGTGATAGCGAAGAAAGTTGGACGGACTGCGATGAGAAAGAAATCACATGCTCTCCTTGGCAAAGCCGCTGTGCAAAGTTTTTTTACAAAGACGAGACCGATTTCTCTTACGCTAAAGGTTGTTTGACTGACAAGGAGTGCCAGGATGGACCGAGCAAGTTTGAAAGGTGCCGGAAAGCCGAAGAGCGGGGCTTAAAAGTCACTTGTGATTTGTTATGTTGTTCCGATGACCGTTGTAATGGAGCAAACGACGTGTCAAAGGTCAGCGGTATCATATTCATGGTATGCGCCCTGTTAGGATTACTGGCCGTACTGGTTTGAATGCGACACATAACTGGTTGCTTGCCGTAATGACTTATTAAAATAATGGCTCTAAAAATCAGAGTACCATTGGCTGAGGGAGAAAAACATGATCAAGATCATAATTAATTTGTAAAATGTCATTGTCGATGCGACATGCAGTATTGATGAAAACTTGCACATCGAGCTTGTATCAGATCAGTGAGGAAAGATTGTTCACAAGGTTTATTGTATTAAACAACAAGAAGTCAATAAAAAGTGGGAAGAATAAACCTGTGTGGCCTGTTCAATACGGCTTTAGAATTATTTAAAGTGTATGCGCTATTTTTGGGGTGACGTGGCACGAGTGGAGTTGTTGAAAAAGCTCTGCGTGAAGAAAGGTAGTGAGATTTGTAAAGCTGCCAGAGTTTTTACGTGAAAGGCGCGCGCGACTGGTAAGCCAGAATCTCCGCTTTTGGCATTGCACCTTTTGAGAGACGTGTTTATTCCCAGACCCTGGTTCAACTGTCTTCCTTTTAGATCCGGAATACGAGGGATAAATAGAAACCGATTTTTTCCCCAAAAAAACCAGTCTACGCGTTACCAAGGCTGCCGTATGAGAAAAGTTGATGCGAAGGGCTTGGGTCCTAGCGCGGTGTTTTTCAAAAAGTAAATATGGCGGCTAAAGTTAAGAAGGCTTCGAGAACAAATGTGTTTTGGTCAAAGGATCGTATCCTCTTTAGACGTTATACCGTCGATTATCTGTTTTAGTTTTAAAATAGCGACTATTTTTATAGAAAGAACGAAGGTAATGGCGATGTACCTTTTTGTGAATTCGACGTTTGAGTAAGTGTCTTTTTTGTGCTTGCACTGATCATTTTACCAGTTTTGTAGACAATTTTCGTCGTTCGTCTTTATCACTCTCCATGATTTAGAATAGACGAGTGATATTTTATCATTTAACCGTACTTCTAACTATGGAGATCACCATCAGCTGTCCAACTCTGCATATTTGTAAACCTTCGTCAGCGTCTCCAGATATCCAGAAAGAAGTTTAGAACGAATGAACCTGCGAGGGCTTATAACATGATTGTATTCTCAAAAATAACTATATCAGGCTTTGTTTTTTCTGCGCGTATAGACTACTGATTATGTAACTTGAAAGAGGTTTGATGTTATTGCAGCCACTTTGTCACTTAATTATCTGACTATCTTCTCACTGAACTTGGAGATTTCAAACGCGAGCATTTATAGAAGATTTTTTAGTCCAATGATTTTAATATATTTCTATACGGTTCTTTACAATTTTACAAAAAAAATCCATCATACTGTTTTTCAGTGCACCTGTAACATGGTGTTGGGATAGAACATGACAAGGAAATGCTATCAACAATTTTAAATTTGTGTACTAGTTTTCAAGTTTGTTGATTACTTTCAATCATTGAGTAATGAAAGGAATACTGTGCCTTGACCTAAAACACAGCTGATGATCAAGATGAAAGAATTGTAAAAGTGCACGTTCCAGGTAAGGATTAACTTTTAACATTTTAGACTTGGTGTTGGGTCATATGGATGTCAAGGCTTATTTCCTGTGGGGCACACAAAATTTCATAACAATGTTTAGAAATGGTTTGATAGCAGATTTATTTGTATAAAGAATTAGAAGGCATTGTCAAGCATAAAATGTTAAGAAATAAGGTGATGAAAAATTGATGGATAAATATTAGAAGACCCTAACAAGACGAACTCTTTGCTGTGGTCAGAAATGATGAAATGTACGCATATGCCATTTTTTCAATTGAGTCCAGGTTAAAATGATTTCAAACAAGCTTAATTTTTTTTTTTTATTCTATATAAAGACTATCAAGGCTTCAAGCTCATTGTTTTTCAAAGTCACTGTTTGGCAACCTACTAATTAATAATAAAATACACACCAGAAATAAAATTACAGTTAGCAAATAAAGAGGGAGAAGAAGAAGAAAAAAAGAAAAGTACATTTTTTGCAATATAACATACACTCACACTTCATCTCGCAATGAGAATAGATTTGCAAACCCTAAACACAGCTGTATTAACAAAACATTACAACTTGCTACATGTACTTGACCATCAAACACAGACTACCAAATGGGTGACTTCACAGCAAGTTGACAGGCAAAAAGTTTTTCTGCTTGGTTGGAACCCAGAGTGCTGATGATAGCAACATGCTTGAAACAAAAGAAAAAAGGCAATGAGTTTAAAATCATTTTAACCTAAAATCCTTACATCTTATACTCATGTATTGTTATAAGTGTTTCAGTCAAGGGTTTACTGTCTATATAGTTTACATGACTATCACTATAAAATTAATATAATTTTTGTTCAGTCTTACATGTTCTGTATAACAAGTTATTCTGAATTCCATTTTTTACTCAATAAGGTGTAGCACCTGAAGCACGCCTAAACATCAAGAACCCAATGGTGAGGAAACCAGTACACATGATAAAACCCAGAGTCTTAACTCACCAAAAATCTCTACATGATTCTTTGGACAAGAGAGAGCAAGAGATGTCAAGAAGTGGCCTTAGTACAAAAACTGTCTCAGACTCACTTGATAATTTTGGTAAGATTCTACATAAGAAATTGTCTATTGTTGAAATTGTAGATGGCAAACATATATTCTTTCAGTTTACAGTGTATGTGAAAGTAGATTTTGTACATGACCTTGTAAAATTTGTCTTATTTAAGGTCACATTAATGTATATGATGACCAACTGTACATGTTTATCTGTTTCTACAGATTTCTCTTCCTAGCCTTTAAATTACCAATTACTATGAGAGTGGTCCCAATGCATGATATGATGCAGTTTTCTAATTGTCACTTCAGGTAAGGGTTACTTTGAAAGAAGGGGAAAAGAGAAACAAGAGTTGAGTTTAAAAGAACTGAATCCACAAGACAAGAAACGTGTGGCTAACTTAGTCAAAGAACTTGCGAAGGTTGGAGAGGAACGGCAACTTGCTGAGGAAAGGATTAAAGAAGAGAGACTGGCATTTGAAGAACGACTTGCCATCTTGCAAGAGGAGTATGATGCAGTGATCAAAGAGAAAGCTTGTATCCACTCATGTTTTACATGCAGCTGTAAGATAACTCTTCACCAACAGTAATTTGCTTCAAATTTCATTCCTTGACTTGCGCTTTCAGATTTGCAAAACAGGTTCATGGAATTGCAAGCACTTTTGGTGAAGTATCAGGCAAATAGAAGGACACCTTCACCAAGAAAAACAACTAAAACTCCAACAAGTGAAGGCCAGGAGCAGGTATGTCCTTGAACTGTGTCATCTGTGATGTTTATTTCTGATGTCTACAGTTCATGTCTTTTGGGCATTGGGGATCTCTTACTGACCCATGTACATGTACAGTACTTGTACTGTTCTCTACTTTAGAGCTTTTGTATGCCCTGGTTCAAATTTTCACCTGATTTAGACATTTTTCAAAGCAGTATTATTTTCACAGTTATCAATGTTGAGTTAGTTGTGTTCAAAGTCTGAAAACAACTGGGAAAAATTTGAATCAACTTGGTTGGAAAAATTTCACCAGCCATGATTTGTTGATTACAACTAACAAAAGGCAAGTTTTTAAATTGTATGTGCTAAACCATTCAAATGGTACTAGAAAATTTTAACGTACTGACACTTGAAACACCTGTAACTGCCAGTGCATGACAACCCCAATTTTCCCACTAGTCACCACCTATGAAAAATGGTGACCATATCCACTGTGCAATGCGTTTACGATGTCAATGGGTGTTTACACCACAACACACACCCATTACAGTATCATGTTGCCGTGTTTCAATGCATTTGGTAAATGTGTTAAATTATCAATGCATTTGGTAAATTACATGATGTTCATCTCTTTTCTGTCTAATATTGTATTGGTATTGTAAGGAGAAATTCTCTCTTGGTCATTCATGGGAGTTAACCCAGGTCTTTAACTCCCACAAGTGATTAACATATAACTTCTCCCCATTATATTCTCACATTAACCAGCAAACAAGTAATGAGAATACTCCATCTTATCAAGTAAAAGTTGTTTTCTTAATGTAATGCCAAATTCTCTTAACTAATTCACAATGAAATGTATAGCAGCTAGAGGGGAGATTTTATTATCTGATCTTGGGAGTTAAAGGATGAAAGGTTAAGAGAAAGAATTTTTCTGAACTGGTAACTGCAGTGGTAATAACTAACATAATGATTGTGTTTTTGGTATGCACTGTAGGTATCTGTAGGTAGTGTTTTATCATCTCTTTCTCCAAAGAAGCCTGCACACTTCTCTCCATCCAAACAACCTTTAACAGAAATTCCAGGTAATACAAAGCCAGACACTGATAATGGTGAACATACAGAAGAGGAGCTTAAGGCCAACAGTTTCCAAGGAAGCCTCTCACAGCAAGTGATGAACAGGGAACAGGAGGACCAAAAATCACAGACCATAGCCCATCAGGACAATGTAACTGAAGGTGATAAGAGAGGGTTCTGCCCTGGACAAGCACCCTTAGCTTCCAATGTACAGTCCAGGAGTAAGTGTCACCCTGTTGCTACATCCAGCAAAGTTCAGTCAACAGATATTCAACTCAGTTCCTCACAAAAGGAAGGACTCTCCTATAAGTCTGCAGAACCAAGTGGAACAATGTAAGTTACTGGGCTGGGTTGTTCAAAGCTGGGTTACGATAACCCAGGTTTACTGTGAAATCTGATTTCAGATCTGAGAGCTTTAAAAGAGAATTCAGTCAAATTCTTTTAGTCTAGAATATGATTATTTGATGCTCTAAAAAGAATACAGAAAATTATCCCAAACAGGCATTTGAATAAAGGAATAAAGACACCAAGGTTAAAATTTAACCTTGGGTTAGCACTAATTGGTTTTTTGAACAACTTAAGGCCCAGGTCATTAGGCTCCTTTAAAACAGATGTTGAGATTAATTAGGGTCCTGATGATCAAATGTTGCCCTCTTTGGGCTTGCAGTTTTTTTTATATAAGTGACATGCAGTAAGGAGGAAAGATTGGGTTTTTTTTTCACATTCCTTTTCTCTCCCTGCCATGGAACTTCTTGATAGGAGGTGTAACATGACAGTCTCTTTTCTTCATTTGAAAGGCAGAAATTTCCTTTATCCTATTTTCATTCTAATTGTCATGATTAATTGATCATTATCATTGCCATTGTCACAATTATCATCATCATCATTGTTATTAAGTATACTGTATATCACTACCATTTTCATTGTTTTTATAATTATCATTTTGAATTTTGTCATTTTTAGAAATGTAATAATTATAACTTTCATTAATTGTACAGTTTTATTTCTGTGATAGTTGGAACACAGCTATTCATCCCAAATCCCCCTCTGCTGATTCCTTGCTGTCGGCAGCGAGAGCTGTTCCTGGTATGATGTCTCAGTATCCACTGCCAGCAAAGCCTTTGATTTCTATGTCTGGTGATGGAGATCCTGGATTGAGATCTGATGGGAAAGTACCTCCAAGAAAGAATGAAGATAGGTGAGTTGATCATTGTATCAGTTGCAAGACTGCCAAAATGGGCAATATCCTGTAACAACTGTTATAGCTGAGCTCACTCAATGTTAGGAGTGAAGATGATGATTACTGTCACCTCACACTTGGCTGCATAATAGCTTTGTGATTTTTTCCCTTGATCTCCTCTTACCACTATTCTGGGCAAACATATGCTCCCTATCCTGAAAAGGCTCATTGTTTTGTGCCTTCTCAATGGGTATGCATATCAGCCAAGTGTCAGTGATGCCTGATAAATTGTCGTAAGGGGTTGGGGGGGGGGGAGGGGAGGGGAGAAATGATGGACCAGTATTTGACCAGCATTCTGTTTGGAGGCAACATCATTTTTCCTAGTCTCTTCATACTGTGGGAGTAAGGATAAGGTTTGGTTGTGTGAGCTTCTTGGTTTGTATGGGATATTTTTTATTACCTTTATTTCAGACTCTACCAGAAAAGTTACTTGTAAACAGTAAGTGGTTTTCCGTGGTGGAGTGGTGTTGGTGGTAAGTGGGATTATTAGTTTAAGACTTTGAAAATCCATCCTAAATTTCACCTCTCAGCAAAAGATAAAGGAAAAATTAATGCAGCACACTATTCACTGTTGATTGCTCAACAGTTTGCTTTGTTTTCATCGAGTAGGTCATTCTCCGAAGTATCAGGAGTGTCTGGGAGCTTCTCGGCTGAGTTAGATGCTGTATATCGCTTATACTGCCATGAATATGAACTGCAACTGCAGCTCCAACAACAGCAGATTGAATTGCAGAAACAACAGTTACAACTACAACAACAACTTCAGCAAGTCGAGAATTTACAGCAACAACAGCAACAGCAGCAGCAGACACAACAGCAGCAACAACAACAACAACAACAACAGCCAAAACTACTTACGTCAATGGAAATGGAAACCAAGGTAACTGATGTGGAAGTCTTGATGCATTGTTCGTCTGTGAAAGAGAAAAGAGATTTCTATTTCCTGTAATTTGGAGCGGCTATCATTTGATTGTCTTAATTTTACCCTAATACTTGACCCAGAGTTATGGCAAAAGCCAATCAGGGTCAAGAAAATTATCACAAGCAGCCAATAAGAGCTGAGATTAAAAACAAACGAACTGTATGAAATTTAGCTTGTGTAGCTGGTGGTTTTGTGTGTGCGCTAAAGCGATGAACAGTGAAGGTACGACTGGGGCTTGGGACAGAATATCCTATTTGTTAGTTTATTGCACATTAAACCCCTAGTCAACCAGGGTTTCCGAGATGTTGGAAAACTTGAGCGGCCATTTCGCTAAGGGTTTAGGCTTCGGTAAAGGAGGCGCGGAATTTTTAGACGTTAGCAAAACCGAAACGATTACAGATTACTCTCAACGATTGCCTTTGTTTTATTCTCTAGCTTTATATTATTTAAGTTTTCTTTATTGCAGGTCACTGGTCTGGAAAAACTATCCAAGTCTGCCGTGGACGAGACGCCAGCTCCACTACTCGTACCCAGGCCTGCTACTCAGCCCCGTCAATTGTCACCCGCCCAATCCCTTATTCCTAGTCCCGAAGGTACTGCGTTCAGCCCATAAAAGCTAATTCACCTTAGCCTTTTGCAAAGTCATTCCTATCAACTCGTTTTTTTTTTCATCAAGTAATTTCTGTCACCGATCACAAGAATAGGATACGGTCAAGTGAGGATTATTAAGCTCTGCATTGGAAGTTGTCAGCAGTTACGCTGAGTGTTAGAGAAAAAAGTCAGAGATAATAATTAAGCCAATAATGAGCTGTTTGACGATATTTCGTAAAATTTAACATTCTAAATGTTTGTTTCTACAATCATAGAGGAAGTGTTTTGGCTGCCGTGATCAAAATGCATTTTCATGCAGTGTTTTTGCCCACAGTTGATTACATTAATTTAGCTAAAACTTTCCGGCCTCATTCGGTGTACGCGATTAATTATCAATTGTATAACTTGCTGTCTTTTCTCCTACAGTAAGTTCCTCCTCTAATCATGGCATCCTTCAGGCAAATCCAGAGAAAGCAAGGCATTCTTCAACTTCAGGAATACTTTCACCTCGTGACGAAGGCTTTGCAGCAGCTGAAATGTACAGTGGGAAAGAGAACGACAGGTAAGTCTATTTTCCATAATTTTCGTTCCTTTCTTTTAAATATAACTCTTCCTTTCCCTCTTCTTTTTAGGTTGGAACTTGACAAAGAAAACAGAGGAACTCTCGAACCAGACCCTTATTACAGAGTGCAGTCCGCTCCTCCAACTCTCAGTCAGCCAAGGTTCAGCTTTGAACGTCATCGTGGGCACCAAGCACCCGCTGACCTTTCTTATCGCAAAGGTATAGTCCCTGACGATAGTCTGCCAACCCTTCAAGCACACGTCGATGGAAGAGCAAGCGTAAACTATCCTGTCAGCCGTCTTTCGAGCTCAAGGTACTCGCTCCACAGCCGTGGTCATGTTGTGTCTGCTAACAGACAAAGAGCGGCCTTGAGAGAAAGACAGAATACTGAACAATATATGGTCAGCGGAAGAGACAGCAACAGTTCATTTTATCCAGCGTCTCATTCTGACTTCCATTCTGAACGAGGCAGCTTCGTAGTTGATAGTCCTAGAGGCGACGGTTTTCTTAGTGGAGGAAGGCAAAGTAAAGGTGAATCCTCTCACCACGGGTCTCCATTGTCACATTCGAATATCCGAGAATCATATAACAGACAGACTGCTGCCAGCGATCAACGGTTTTTACTGTACAGCGACGTTCAGCGTAGCTCACAGTCACATGATTTTCCATCATTTCCTGATGATGACAACAGACCAGGAAGGTTGGACCCAAGTTTAGAAAGGTACAATGGAGCTCCTTCTGTTTTATTTTCTAATGTTTGACTTTTTATTTGTACCGGTAGTCTAAATGCAAATTGCGCAACTGCTCTCTTAAGATGTAACTTCAAGGGCGTAAGTTTTGTAGGCACGAATTAGATGAACAACGCTTAGCTTCTTTCTTCTTTCGACTGCCAAGTTCAAAGTTTACCATGCATTCTAAGACATCAGTTAATTTTACTCTTAGTGCGCCACGTGGAAGTTCATACCCGCTGTCCCTGGTGGATATTGTAGAGAACTTAGAAAGCAAATCTTTGGGACCCGAGGTCCCGGGAGCTGCTATAGGACTGGACACTACGGACTCTGGTTATTCACAAGACACTTGTAAGGAGAGGAGTCCGCTGACCGGTGAAAGTGTAAACTCAGATGAAGAGGAAGCTGCTGTTCTTGAAGACATTTTCTTTATCTCGGGAAGATTTTTTTGACCTTGCTTTGTGATAAATTTATTTTTTCATATTGCCATTTATTTCTTATTTTTGATAAAACTAGCCTATTTATTAACATAAGATTCTTACGTAAGACTCCTAAGATTTTAAAATAGTAGAAGGCTTACGTAACATAATATTTTTACTGAAATAAGATTATTAAGACAAAATTAGACTAAAAAAATGATTAATGCATTTTAAATGATCAGGAATATGAAATATGATTAAAATAATGTCAGACTAAAAATTATTGGAATCGACAGCGTTTGGCTGGTGCACATGTCAATTGTGACAAACGTCGTAAGAAGAGTTCTTAAAAGACTTGGACATTTCAGAATATGTTTCTCTGCGTTCTGAAAATGATGAATATTTAATTTCAAACTGTGGATTAAAAATTGGCGAGATGTTGGATTTTGTTTGTTATTTGTGTTAACTCTTAACACCTACCCTCACATCAGTAGGACGATAGGGTGTTAAAGTTTATCTTTCATTAAGACTTTGTTATAAACATTTTGATGAGATGAACCAACTCCTAACACTGTAAACACTACCCTAGTTGATGATATAATTATCCGTGAATTCAAGCTTTTGTTCTATGTTAAGGTTAAGGCATTGTGTAATAGAAAATAGCAACTTTAGTCAATCATAAGACATTCGCACGGTTAGCACTTTATAATCAGGTGAGCAAGGGCACAGCTGTGAAATTTAAGTGCTCATTTGTATGTATATCAACGGAACGAGAACGATTGCTGAAGAGATGTAGTGGTAAGGCTTCTATTCACTCGGACACATGCGCAAGGCCAATTGTTTTGCTTCGGAAATTGCTCCTCTATGACCTCGATGATCGACTACTGATATCAGTCTTCCCAGTTCTTACGTGGATTCGTCAAGAAACGCACTTCCTTCCCTGCACTGCACGACAAGTCTTAGCGACAGCAAAAATGAAAATTCCTGCTGCGTCTGTGTAAACCCTCTGTGCCCAGCATCAATATGCGTATTCTCTATATTGTTCTCTACACATTTCCTAAGGTGATGACAAGGAGAATTTGTTTAACGCTAAAAAACGTCTGTAATTGGCGATCATTTCCTTATTCTCGTGACCTTAATGTTTAATTCAGGGTGATATTGTGATTAGAAATTAGATGCTGGTCATTCCTATGAGTCATAGGGTGAACATGTCGTCCCAAGAAAGCCCACGCGAAATGGCCGATAATTTTCTAAGGGTAAGGAAGATTGATGGAGTTTCATAGTGTTGTTGCGCGCAAGAAAGACATTCCAGAAATCTACCCACACCTGCCGTCTTCCTCTAAAGCGTTTGAATAAAATTATCAAACAGCGGTAAAAGACAGTACCCTTAATGCCAATTGGGATTTGCATCTTCCCCTTCTGTAGCAGAACCTTCCTCGAAACATGTTTTGGCATATTCCTGAGTGGAAGCGATAGCCAATTCAAAAAAGCAGCCATTACACGAAAGTAATCGATTTATTAGTTAAACTATTTGTTCTCATCGACGTATATGGCTTTGTCATTCAAGTTCTTTGTTATGAATCTTAAGAGTCTTTTATCCAATTCAGTTTATGATGATAAGTAAATACTGGAAGAAGTTTACGGGACATTTCCACTTTTGTCACAGAGGTTTGCGTGCAACAAAAAACACGTTATCATAAACCAGCTTCAACATGGATCGTTGATTTTCAATATATCCTGATGAAATACTGGTCTCTTCTTTCTGAAAAAGAACAGATAAAGAGAAAAATAAATTAAACTCACGGACGATCAATCTCCACTACGATCAATCACCACTACAATCAAGGTTGATTAATGAAGGATAGAACTGAAGTTGCCCGAAGCATACGATCATCTTGATGTGCAGACAACGAAACAAAACCTATGGGCATTGAGACACCGAATGCTAAGGTACTGTGCATGCATGATAATAACATACAATAATTTCAAATTTGAAGTGCTCCGTAGCAATCCTTCTGATTTCTTCGTACGATAACTCCACAGACCATTCATTTGCCATGTCAGCAAAATGATACAATAATGGACCTATAAAAATGAATTGAGAAAAAGATAAGAAAAGAGAAGCAAAGTAACGAGCCTTAGCTTCAAAATTGCCGGAGCTTGAACTGGCTCCTACAGCAAGGAGAGACCAAGAAAGGGGCCTCCCCCCCTCCATCCTTGGATAGAATGCTAGTCCCTCGTGGGTCATCTTTCCCCAGTCCCTTGGGTTTTCCTGAAAGCTTCCCAGAGTCTACTTATACTCCTGAGTGGGGAGGGAGAATGGATGACTGTTCATTCTTGCTGCTGAGATGTATGAAAATGGTTAGAATTATTTGAAACCAATTCTGCACAATGAAGGAAGAGCGAAGGTACTGAGACTTGTAAAGAAATCATTATTGTTGCAGTTGAGAGAGTATTGGTGTTTAACTCAGGATCCAATTAAATTTCTCGAAGGTTGAAGTTTTCGTGGGTAACTTTTTTTTTGTATGGATAAAGTTCGGGGGAATGAGGAGGATAGGGAATTGTGCAGTCTGAGTGAGAATGTGCCTTGGAAGCCTTTAAACCCATATAGTATTTTGTCGATGAGACTGCAATCTCCATCCCTGGTTACAGCATTGAGCCAGTTGAAATTTCTCAGACACTCATCGAGAGATGGAAAGGAAAATTTTATTTCTCGTTTCTGGTATGGTGACAAAGAACAGCATTTTTACGCCTAGCACGAGGTTTATTTCATAAACTGAATGTACCTTTGGGCAATCCACTGCCACATCAATTAAAAGTTATTTTTCCAGCCCAACGATATACGCATTAGACCTTGCACTCGTTTAAACTTACCAAGATTAATCCAGTAGCCACCAGGCTTTAAGATTTTTTCAATATTTTCAATGAAAGCGATGACATTATGAGCCGTGTCAATGAAGTAACAAGTTACTACACAGTCCCATGATTCTGAGAAACAAAGCAACGAAAGGAGAACTGTTAGTAAATTCTACACAAAATTATAAAATGGTGGGTAGTTGTCTGGTTTTATTAACCAGTGTGTTTCCAATAAACTCGAACCTATAAGTTAGTATCACACTGTTTACTGTTTGTGAAAGCTGACAAAAATCCCATCTAGTGTACCCTGAGTGTGGTTCAGCATCACATTAACTGGCCTGCTGAAGAGGCGTAGGTTTTTAGTGTTTTTCACGCGAAAGGAGGTAAACGCGAGTTATGCGCGAGGGGAGGAGCGCAAAAAGCTACGCACTCCTTCCCTAACGCGCGACTCACGCTTTTCAGCCATGAAAAACGCAAAAACAATTACCCCTGTTCTGCTGGCTACACATTGGCTTAAAAAATGTAATAAAACTTCCGCTCAATGTTACACTGTCTATGAGAAAACAGGACCAGACCTGCCTAACTTAGCAAGGTCAGCATTTCTGCCTCAGAAGCAAGTTTAGAGTAGCATGAGCTTCAGTTGAATCATCGCTGTCAATTTGCACAAATGGCAAATTTGCGACAGAGAACAAGATAGCCGGCCGTACAAAACCTTAGTTTATGCGCGTGATATTCTGCTCCCGACGACCCGTGTATATACATTGTTAAGTGTCAATCTTCAACTATGCGTTCTTCTTGTAATAGAAGAAATTATTACACTTTTCACTTGACAGATATTACTACCATTACTATATTACTCTTATGTATGTACCACTATTACGAATACTGAACTTTAAATGCACGTTCAAATAAAGTACCTTTCTCGGTGTAAACTTCTAAAAAATCTCCAGCAGCCATTGAAAAGTTTAGATCGGGTGGAACATCAGATGGGTTCACATCCGGGATAAGAACGGCGCGTATCTGGTCAGCTGATGTTCGGTTATTGCAGGTCTGATGTATATATGGGTATATTGTGATGTGATACGTGTCAGATGCTCTGAACGAAAAATCAGGTAAAGGAAAGATTGACTTTGGAAAAAAAAATAGCAATGTATGTTGTACAGAAAAAAACCATACTTCAAAATATTAAAAATTGTCGCACATATTGTTATATATCTCATTTAGTACGTGCGCTACGATTGGTCAGTTTAGCGGGCCGTATTTCACTGTAAGACCCACTAAATTCAAACGTCTGTTTGACTTGAAAGCTTTCCCCTCTGGTTGAAGCAAAAGATAAAGTAACCATCTTACTAATATTGGTTTTCTCGATTCACACTGTGAATTACTGATCCTCATTTTTTCCCGCTCGGTCCACACCTCACAGTAAGGACCTTGAACTCAGGTAGTAAGCAGGCCTGGTATGGGTATGAATTACTAGTCAGTATGTGATGTTTTCTTAATTTTTAAGGAAAATTAAGATGAAATCAATCATGACCTTTCCACATTAGACCACCAAAAAAAATTGAAATGTATCAAATGTAAAGAGGAAATGGAAATTACGAATTTAGACACTTTCCATCTCACCATGCAAAATAAGTAAACTGAGTCACTGAGCTATATCGACTGTAAGTGCTAACCTGTTTAATATAAAGTGTGACGCAAATAGCATGTATAAGCTCCACTCATTTCCTTGACATCTGTAACCTAAGATACATTTTAAATAAATTGAAGTTATAGTCACTGATCATCTTCTAACAGCAAATTGAGTCAACCTTTGGCAAAAGGTTTTCAATCACCCCATTTTTTACTTGTTCTTTTTATTTGATTGTCAATATGACTAGAGATTGATAATGAGTAAAGCAAGTCCATTAAACATGCTACAGATCAAAAAACAAACAATTTAGATAAAAGAAGAAGAAGCATAAAAAAAGGTGATAATTGCTCTACAAGAGTCTCTTGATTCTCATATTTATAATTATTTATACATTCATTTTGAAATCACTGATGATCCTTGACATCTGATTTGCTCTCATTGGTGCGCATATGATTTCAGACCAAATTGCACTACTCTCAGTTTAATTACCATTATAAAATAAAAGTAAATCAAGAAACAAAGGAAGCTTTCAGAGAACTGGAAAAAAAAAGGTAAAATGGAAAAAACAAGAAAACACAAATGAAAAGCACTATCGTAGATGTTAAAATTAATGTAGGTGAGGAAATACAAAACACTTTCTAAACCTTAAGAAAAGACAATTCAAAAACAAAAAAAAGAGCTAGGCCAGTTTTAAAAAAATACAACCACAAGTACAACCAAAAAGGAATAAGAAATTAAGTCTACTAAATACTACTAAAAACTTTTTAAAATCCATCCTACCAAGTTTTGCAATATCAAACATCAGTCTTGCTAAACCTGCTCCAGGTACAAGGATGGATACTTCTCCTCTAGAGCTGAAATTTATTACAACAGTTATAGCAAGTCACTGCAGTATAATTAAAGTTGAAAATTACAGACAAAATTTGGGCCTGAAAGTTTCCGTATGGCAATCCAGTAAGTTAAGAGTTCCAAATTGACACTTTCACTTTAAATGTCTGATTTGGAGTTCTTTTTTCTAGCTGCTTTACAGTTCATTGATGTTAACCCTTTACAGTCCCTAACATCAGTATGCATGTTCCCTATACAATTCTCTATACATTTCAAAGGGTGCTGACACGGATAATTTGTTTAATAACCAAGAGCTTCTTTGGTTGGTGTTCATTTCCTTTATCCTCAGGACCTTAACATGTGATTCAGAAGTCAGTGACATTGTAAGGAGAAATTATATGCTAAAGTCACTCTCAGGGATCAAAGGTCTAAGAGAATTCAGTATACCATTTATGAGGAGACAATACCCTATATGTAACTAGTAAGTTCATGATCCTCATCAACCGTTTGTTGGATATGTACTTATACCTTAGGGAGAAATTTAATCATTATCACTGCTAGGAGCTAAAGGGTCAAAGTTCTAATAGACACATAATTACTGGTCTTAAATTTCAATATGTTTTTTCTTAACAAATTAACATAAACTCGTCACCATTCTGTTCCTGGAAAAAGTCTTTGGATCTCTTCAATAATAGGTTTATAACAAGCATCACGTTCAGCTCTTCCCTGTTATAAAATTAATTTCATATGTACAGTGTTGAAAGAAACTAAGTAGGAGAGATTAGTTTAGTAACCTTACATAACTTATTTTGAAAGCAATGCACTTCTATCCAGAAAGAAGTCTATCACTTGCTGAGTGTAACCCTGTGGTAGTTGAGTCTGTACTTATTAAAAGTGCCTCACCCAGCTAGAGCTTTTCCCAATTTCCAGGGCATGAAGTGACTACTGGGGTAATACTGCTTCCCCCTGGATGGGATGCTGGTCCATCACAAGGTTACCCTCCCAGCATTTCATCAAGCTTCCCTGAAAATTCACTGGTTACCATTTATGATCCTGAGGCACCACCCATAAGATCATGAAAACCACATGATCACCTTGGTTCACACCATTCACCGTGTGAATCATCAGGTAATTATCAAATTGCCATCTTACAAGTACACACATGCCAAACAAAAAAATAAACTATTAAAAACCTCATCGCTCCAGTCTCTCACAAACTGTTTCAGTGTTGTTGTTACTTTTTCCATGTCAAAACCACTGATTGGTTGGTTTGCCGGGTCACTAGGAGCCTGATCAACATAATGCAACATTATTCAGGGCATGTAATCTAAGACTTTTTAAAATAATTTTGTGAAAAAGTATTTTAGCGATGTCTAAAGCAATGATTATAGTACTGTTGTCTGCAAGCTGTCTCAAGTCTCCAAAATGTAAGGAATTGGTTTTAAGATAACTAAGTGGCATTAGATCCTTCCCGATATAACATACATGTATGTACCCCTCATTAAAAAGACAAACTTGCAACATGAAATTGTCATAAATTACATACTTGGTCTAGGGCTTTTTGGAAAGGTGTTTAAATTCCTGTCAAGTCACGATGTTAATGATAAACTTTACATAATAACCTGGATGCTTAGGAGCCAATTCTTCAAATGTAATTGAAATAGAGGCTGTGACAGTCTTAAATACTTACTGAAGGAATTCTTGAATGATCTCTATTTTCAAACATTTCATTAGTGTGGCTGACGATATCGAATAAGAACTTCTGATTCTCCTCAATACATTTTTCGATTTTCGAGATGTGATCTTTATAATTTGGAAGCATTTCCCGATGTCTTTTAGGAAGTAATTTAAAGTTCGTCTTGACCCTTTGCAGCTTCCGTAAAGAAAAATCCCTAAGAATACAAAACAACAAACAAATATCTTTCATTATCATTCATTATCATACTAAGGGATTATTATTATCATTGATTTTCCAATTTGTTATAAACTTACTTATAATATAAAAATGCCTCCACAACTTTCCAAAAATATTGTCTCTCTAATTTTTCGTCATCAGTTTCTTGGTGACTCTCTTCAGCTGGGAAATTTCTACTGGTTCTGTCTTCTTCCATTCCTTTACATTCGTCTGCCATCTTTGAGTGGTAAGTACGTCATGTATGAGGAATTATCAACTCAAATACTTATAATGTCCTATACTATACATACAATAATTCTCCATACATGACAGTTTGTTACTTCCGCTGACTAACTCTCAATGAGGCTCAGAAATCCCGCAACACTGAGGCAATCCAGGCCTGACAACTTTCTGGTACGTTTCCGGTGCCAAACTGGGTAGTTTTCGCCTTGTAAAAACTTGGAAAACATATATTTTGATACATTATGGACGAAGATTCATCATTTCGTTGTCGAAAGTGTCGACTGAATCTTTTTTCCGTCAAGCAACTTGCATCTCACAAAGATCAAAAGGAGAGAGACAGACGTGGGGCAGGTCAAATAGATTTGTTCAGTCACGAGAAATGTTCTTCCTGGTTCTTAGAAGATGATGAAATGCTTCCTTGGGTCCGTGATAGCGTGGAAGAGGTGTGTTTTAGTCCCGTTAGTTAGCTCTGGAAGGCTTGCAACTCAGCAGGCTACATGGTACAAAAAGGAGAGATTCAGTTTGTACTACTAGTGAAGAAGTACATGCCCCTTAGGTGGGCATCCATAAAGACTCCAACGAAGCGAATGGTACTCTGAATTTGAATCAAACGTTTAAGATGAATAACCATTTACGCCCTTAGTATGCATGTTCTCCTTACTGATCGATATGCATTTCCTCAAATGCTGACGAGGAGAAGTTGGTGATCATTGTCTTGTTCTCGTGACCTTAATATAGGATTCAGAGGGGGATGTTGTGAGGAGAAATTAGATCCTGGACAGTCTAAGGGGTTAAAGGGTTTAGTGTTTTGAGTTAAAGATCTTTTTTGAATTATGTTAGTTGAAAGAAATGGGAAATTTTTATTTTATGGTCACCTTTACTGCCACGAAGACACTGTATAGCAAGATTTTTGGGTAATTATAGATAACCTTAGTGTGGTCAAAGAGAGAAATCAGAGTTACTTTGCCCAATGCTTGTAAAAAAAAAGTGAGATGTTTTTTGTTCACATGTTTTCTCCCTTCTTAGTTTGATTTCTGAATGACTTTCTATGGGGTTGATGTATAATCTTTATTTGTGCTCTAGGCTCAATGGACCGAGGGAAAATTGTATTGCCCCAAATGCAAGAGTCGAATAGGAGCTTTTGACTTTATTCATGGAATACACTGTAACTGTGGAAGGTTTATTATCCCAGCTGTCTGGATTCAAAAAAGTAGAGTTGATCTTATTTTGCCCACAAGTCAGATGACAAATTTGGATATCAGGAGCCCTTCAATATCTTTCAATCAGTCTACAAGGAACTCTTTTGGCAAAACTGCAGAACTACAAAATAATATAACCAAATCTTTTGTTGGAAATATTAGTGAGTTTGATTGCACAGACTTCAGGGGAAATACAGATACAACACAGATTGCATCATCCTCAGTATTCTCAGTGGTAGATGCCAATGGCAGACTTGTGGATAGTGAGGGGAATGGTGAGCATATAATTTACATGTAGGTGCATTTGAAATGTTAGTTACAAATTTATTACTGTATCATGTTGTCAATGATAAAAGTTAACTAAATGCTCTAAAATCATAAGATTTCAATATGAAGTGTTATAGTTGTTTAGTAATGGTAAAAAATGTACTGTTAGGAATTCTTACTGACATTCCACCATGCAAACCAAAACCTGACTGAAAATGCATGGAAATTCCCAGTTTTTGGCAAAATACTGTAAATTTAATTCCCATCTAGAACAGTTGGGTTGCTGAAAAGGAGAGACATGTTTTGCATGTATGTAAATTGCATGAAAAATGAACTGATTGTGCAACTGTTTCACTTTACATTGTAGACATTAGGCACTGCATTGATGAAGGAACATCTTCATGCAATTCAACATCAGATATCGTGATGGAAAACATACCCAGTTCTCTCAAAATGCTAGCATATAAGTTTAGCTCGCGCAAGAGAGAGATATCTACATGTACTGTGCAGCAAGATATTTGTCCAAACACTTCTCATCTAACTGGGTTATGTCCCATTCATAACTGTAAACAATGTTGCAATATCAGATTGCATGAACCTTATTCTGGCTTAGAAGCAGAAACCTCGTTAAACACTGCTCAAGATGAGGCCCAGGAGTTAGTGCCCCAGCATACATGTAGATTTGGCTGTGCACTGCATTGTGATTCCTCTAAAGCTACAAAGTTAAATTCAAACACAAGTAGAGCAAGGGGCATTTTAAATGACAAGGAAACTTATAAGCAGAGATCCAGAAGGAAAACAAAGGGACGGCATCAAATATTACCAGAAGCTAATAATTTACTAGACATAACAACTGACCAGAGGGAAGAGAAGTCATCTATTTGCCAATTTTCAGATCAAACGACATACTACAGTTGCTTGCCAGTTGATGAAGTTTCCAGTGAGCCTTTATGTAAGACAGTGGAAAACAAGGTAAAAATCACTTACACTGTACCTCAACTGTAAATGGCTTTTTTTTGTGGCACACAACTGGAATTAATTGAAAGAGGGTAAACTTTTTGTTCAAATTAGAACTGGAGAAAGAGTGCTTAGATTCCAGGTGTTGACCTTTGAGTTGTTATCGTGTATCACATGCTGGTTTTAGAGTTGCAAGCTTCTTCACTTTTTGCAGTAGTTTGTCTTATTCAGTTATTTACATTTTCATCTCTTTTTAATTTTCAATGCAGTTTTCATAGCAACTCACCTTTGCTTAAAACATTAAAATGACCAGTTATTGAGATGATTGATTGGAAGACAGTGTACTACTGACCATTGAATCACATGTGTTGTTTTTAACAATTTTAGACTATTTCAGTAGAAATCCAAGATCACCATTGCTGTGCTGTGTGTCTGGATCTGTTTTACGAGCCTTTTAAATGTTCTTGTGATCATGTGTTCTGTGACCCATGCTTACGACAGTTAAACTTCAGGACCAGCAGTAGAGGCTCAGTAAGATGCCCTTTGTGCCGGCAAATAGTCGAACAATTAACACCAGCAACAGGTAAAGTATATGCAATTAACAATGCCGTAAAGTATAATTGACAAGCAGTAGATGTCAAATGATAGCATATGTGGAAAACTCAACATGTTTTAAACAGACCATAGATTTCCCAAAAAGAGCCTCAAAGTGCTTTTTTACAGACCCACTCCTCTCAATCTTCCATAGTCTGGTTACAGACGTTCTATTTCCTGTTACATTGTCCAAGGTGTGGGTGAAATAGGAGCCATGGGAAATTTAACAACCATGAAGGAACCGCGATTGCTCTTGTACTCCACACCTGTTCTTGCGCACTCAGTTTTGTAAGGAAGGGTCCGCAGCTGTGAACTGACTTTTTCCCCTTAACAGCATATAAATTAGATTTTATTACCTCAGTACTTAGCATAATTGTATGTTCCTATAAAGACAGGGTTACTAACTGGTATATGATTTTTTATCTAATTTTTCACAGAACTAAGAAATGAGATTAGGCAGACTTATGATCCCCAGCTACTTAGGTAAGATATACTCTAGTCTTAACAGTCCCTTTTTTCTTCTATGGTCATTGGTCAGAGGGAGAGCAAAATAAGAATCGCTTGGATATTTAACAAATGTGATTGCTCTCACTCCCTGGCTGGTCCTTGACCTAAACAAAAAAAACACATGATAATAGAAATATTTTTAAACCGAGAAAAAGAACAACAGTGACATAAATACTGAAAAAGACAAAAACAAAGCATAAACAAGGAAATAAGAGAAAAGTATATGTCTTGACTTAGCAGGATGAACCCACAAAATTAAAAAATAAAGAATAAAAGAAAAGAAAAAGAAAAGAAAAGGAAAATGAAAGTGGATAAGTCTGTAAGCGAGCTAAATGGCCCACCCAGCCAGAGCTTCTCCTGGAAGCACCAATACCAGATCCCCTGGATAGGATGCTATTGGAGAGAGAGGCACTCTGAAAGGAAAGTCTTTTGCGCAAGAACAGAATTCCAGCGCACAGACTATTTGTTCACCGCGTCTCCCGCACGAAGTACCGGTCGTAGCTAAATCGAATGTGAGAAATCCGCCTTTTGTACGTCGATTTTTGGGTCAGTAGGTGTGAGAAGTAGCGATGTGTTTTGAACCATAATTATGAACCATGGCTATTATTTTGTATTTCAGGAAACGTGACAAAGTTGAGCGTCGAGCTGCGTACAGAAAATGGCCCCTCCCTGCTAACCAGGGGCCGTTACGGCGAAACACGTCACACACTCGGCGAAGTGTCACGCTACCTTGTATCATCTACATCTTTCTGATAGGTGCAAGCATGTATATGCTTCTGTTGATCGCTCTTCTTTCAAATTTGACTACAAATAATGTAATAAGTTTGTATTAAGGATGGATTTCTAAAGATGACATGAAAAGGAGTTTAGTGTTGTAACATAATTTGAGAATGTAAAGAGCATGTGTGGTTTTTAATATGGTATCGTGTAAAGGGCGCAAAATAGCCATAAAGAAACGTTTCAGTGAAATGATGATAAGACTACTGCAAGGAAGTTTATGTAAGTCATAAATTAATGAAAGTATATATATATAAACAGTCAAACATATGTATAACAAAAAAGAAAAGTTCGGATCGACGTTCCCAGCTTTCCCGGGCGGACTGATCCATGACATCGGAGAATTTGGCTGCTGATCAAAAGTGCCTTGCTAGATTGGTCAGTCCCAAAATTGTGTGTAATATTATGATGAATTTTTTTTTTCAAGATAAAAAGGGGCTCTTCATTTGTATATTGGCCTGTCTTATACCGGCAAGAGATAAAGTAGAAATGAAAGGTAGCTCTTCAAAGTTACCTAGGGCAGCTGGATTTTGAACATTACTTGCGGTGATTTTTACCCTTACCAACTTCATTCCAATGTTCATTTACAAATACTGTTGCTTATGGTTAGAGATGCAAATCTAGAATAGTTTATAAAATGTATGGGAAATAAATTGATATTTCAAATATGACTTTTGACGCCTGATTGCTTGTTTTCAGAAATTTATTTACATCCATAGATCAAATTTACAATTTTTAATTATCTGACCATAAAGCTACAAATCTATTAAGCGGGTTACAATTACTTGGTCGTTAATTCAGTTTTATCTATCTGCGCAGGGCTTGAACTTTTACTAGTAATTACTAAAATAAACAACTCCCCACATCTTGAAATGTTCGAGTTTTTATTCCCTGCATTCTTTGCAAACTTGTACAATGACGTCATCGGGCCCTGCTTGGCCTATTGTCCTTATCAACCATACCAAAGTCCCTGTATGAGAAAGTCGTCGGGTTTTATGTGACAGTAGAGGTCTTTAACAGACCTTAATCAAAATGCTTAAAACAATTAATATAATTTAAAAAGTTTAAGCTGCAATTCCATGGGAAGAGAAACCCATAGCATGTTACGGAATCAATCAACAAACAAAATCAACTTTTACATTTTTTTTTTCAGGCAATGGTCAAGGAATGGCTGGTTGAATGAATACATTTGTGATTATGAAGGAACTAAAGATATCTAGCCTATTGTATAAGTTTTGTTTATACAAACGTATGTCATGCCAACATAGTAAACTAAATGTCACTTTTGTAGCTTGAACCCTATGTGTACATGACTTCATTTATGGCTTGATTTGAAGGCTTTTCGTGGCCTTAGTCACTCTTCTGTCCTACTCGGAGTTCATGCGACGTCCTCAGCAATAAAATCAGCTAAAGCTCTTCTGATTCTTTCTCTCAATTCTCTTTTGCTTGTAGAAGCAACAATTTGCTGGAGCATGGGGGATCTCTTTAGTTTGTGTTCTTGAGCTTCAATGGTTGCCTTTCTGAGAGGAAGTTTCTCAACTACATCCTCCAATCTTTTGATTGCCTCTGCACGAATCCTTTCTTTGTCACCTGGGTGCTCTTGGGCAAACTTTATCATTTCTTTTTTTACTTCGGTGATCCTACCTAATTACATGAAGCATTAAAAGAAAATCAGAATCTAATTAGTACCTGAAACTGGAAATCACGCAAAGGAGTTAAAGCAATACCAAGTTCTAGGTATCTGCCCACACCCCCACTCAGCTCTCTCTTACTTTTAACATATGCGATCTCTGCATCTTTGATGAAGGCTGTTTCTTTTTTCAAAAGATCAGATCGTTCCTTTTCATCAATGTTGAGGTCCTCCATGAGGTCCAAAGCAAGTTTAGTGGCGATTGCTTTGTGATGTTCGGGTGTTAAACCTCCAACCTCTGTAAGAGCGTCAGCATAGCCCTCCAATGCCTCCACATCTGCAAAGATAGATAGTTTAAGAGTATGTGAACCATGCGCCAAATTATCTGCCCTCTACAAACTGTTCGTTAGGTCAAAGTATTCTCAGAAATTATTGCACTTCCTAATTAGGTGGAAACTCTGCGTTTTATAGCTATGCTCATAATGAGGATGACGATGCTATACACCACAAATTAATAAAAGATTTGATGCTGCTCAACCGATGGTGGAATTGGACGAACGTTGGGTGTCCTTCATATCAACATGATTCTGAGTGAATTTTGAATTCACAAGTACGACGTGATGACGATGGCGGATGTACTCCCCTCTTAAAAATTAAAATGGTGCAATGAGATAGTGATGATAGGAACCGCCAACCCGACTAGCTACCAGAGGCAAAATTCCCTTCTGTAATTAGAACCACACGATATAAATAACATGTGACTAGAATCTTACCTTTATCGACTTCTGTGGCTTTTTCAGAGTCCTTTGAAGGCAGTGAACGCTTTAAAGTGGCTGCGAGCTTTGAGTTTGAAAATAGAGTGAAGTAAAAGTAGGTTATTTCCACAATAAGCGTTCGTTGACGGTGAAAAGAAACAGCATCAACTATTTTCGACGCTCTTACTTTAATGCATCAATACCTGAGTTCCTTACCTGTGTAAATTCTTGTTTCTCCTTTAAATTAATATTAGCTGATTCAGCATCATTGAGGGCACTGTCCTCTGAAGATCAATGAAAAAGTTTGAAGTAGTCAGTTTATCATTTTTTGTAATCGTTCATAGCAGAGACAGAATTAGACCAATTCAAGTGCAAGTTTACTTTACTGTGGACTGTGAAGTGTTACCTTTTTGAATCGATATTCTTTTTTCTCAGCTTATTTGTCTTACTCTTATTCCCTATATTATGGTAAAACATGCTTGGAGTACTAATATCTATTCTCTATAATATCCTTTTCTCTTAAGTTATCAGTTCTCGAATTTCCAATTTTACCTTGTGTCCAGATCTCGTCCAAAGCATTCTTCATTCCATTTGTTTCCAAAGGCTCCTTGAAATAATGCAGTGATACAATAAGTTTTCTGATAGCAAAGCACTTCAGATATCTCAAAGCGCTTATCATTTGTAAGAACTGGCCAGCCGTCAAGTCAATAAAAAAACTAAATTTTTTTTTTTTACGAGAGTTTTGCTTGATTCCTACAGTTATCTGATAATTAGATGAATTCATAGAGTCGACGAAGTGAACCGTATGGCCAGAAAATTCCAAGGTACAACGAACTTCTCTGGATAAATGGACCAGTGTGGCTGGTTGTGGCTTATGGTGAGCACCTATACTAAATTGACACAAATCAACCTTCATTTCATTGTTTAAAACAGTTTGAATGTGTCGGTGCTTTAAATAGAGATTACGCAAATCGTGGAACAGCCGGAATGCCCTTATTTTTGACCAATAACTCACGTTAGCTACTCTTAAAAATGATTTCCAAGAAATTCATGCTGGTATGTCGTCTCTTAGTCAACATGATCTTTCTGTTCTAGCCATTGCGTTGGATTGACTCTATATCATTTTGTTCAGCAGATGATATAGTTTTTGTATGTAATTGTTACATGACTTAGGCTCTATAATTAATTTTCACATCAAAGACTGTGAAAGAGATATTTGAAGATACACTCATCTTAAAATAACGCAAACTGTAGCATATGCTTACTCTTTTAACGAAATTTGTACTTTGAGCTTTTTCTCTCAAAGCAAGCTCCTCTCCTGACCCTGATGCATGCGCCTCACCGTCTGCCAGCGCAGTGAACAAATTCTTAAGAGCAGCACCAGTCTTCTTTTCTCTTACTTGCGATTTGCTTTCTTTTTCACTGATCGGAAATTCTTCGGTGTTTCGCGGTAAACTGTGGATGATGTCCGACTTTCTCTCAATTTTGTTGTCCAGTGCGGCTTTAGCGATGTCATCCATGGTTTCAGTAATGACTTTCCCTCTTGTGTTGGCATGCTGATCAGCACTCCCTTCTCGTTCCCCTTCAGAGGAATCTTGTTCTTTGCTTTCAGTTTCCACAGTTGAATCTTCGTCATCATCATCATCTTCGGCGTCGCTTTCCCTCGGGATGAAGTTTCGCTTGTATTCGGCCTCGCTGGACTCGCCGGACTCGCCAGACTCGCCAGACTCGCCAGACTCGCCGGACTCGCCGGACTCGCCAGACTCACCGGACTCGCCAGACTCACCGGACTCGCCAGACTCACCGGACTCACCGGACTCTTCGCGCTCACCTGATTCAGCCGAAGACTCAGGTAAATCTCCTGATCCAGATAAATCCTTTGATTCTGCAATAACAATGTGGCGGCCTGATATTTAACACTTCTGATTAAAATTGTTAAAACCACATCTACAGTGCCATACCCGCAAACCTGCTGCTGAAACGTTTGGAATAAGTAGTTTATCTAATACAGAAATAGGCTCCAATTTTCAGTTTGTGGTAAGAGAATTGTCAGTAAATGAGGCAATATGCACATACCTTGCTGGTCTTTGGGTATATCACTTCGTTTGGCAATCCCTCCGTCAGCTGATTCACCACTTTCTCCACTCTCTCCACTCTCCCCACTCTCCCCGCTCTCCCCACTCTCCCCGCTTTCTCCACTCTCTCCACTCTCCCCACTCTCCCCGCTCTCCCCACTCTCCCCGCTTTCTCCACTCTCTCCACTCTCTCCACTTTCTCCGCTTTCTCCACTCTCCCCACTCTCTCCGCTTTCTTCACTTTCTTCAGAATTTCCGTATTCTTCAAAATCTTCCGCGTCTTCGTAATCTGGAATAACTGCAGCTGCGAAAACAAATGTTTCATGCGAGTTTGAGGAATATTCAGTGACACGAAGGGCTATTAGTACGTAGGATCAACGGTTCTTGTAGAGTGAGAAAATTTGATCCAAACCAGCCCTAAAAAACTAACCCTAACCTTAATATTTTTCGGAATTCATGGACAGACTATAGAGATATCTCAAACAAAGATGAGAAATGTATGAACGTAATGAGCCTAAAATGCCATTGTACTAAAGGATCTTCATGATAAAAGCTTACATATGATTAGTTATCGTCGATGTACCCACCACTTTGTTCCTGTGGTATTTCGTTTCTTTTTGAGATCGCTGCTTCTCCGCTTTCATCCGATTCAGCGAAGTCCTCACTTTCACCGGATTCGTCACTCTCTTCAGACTCTTCGCTTTCACCAGATTCGCCGCTCTCTCCAGACTCCTCACTTTCACTAAATTCGCCACTCTCTCCAGACTCTGCACTTTCCCCCGATTCTGCACTCTCTCCAGAACCAGAATTGTCGGACTCGTCGGATTCCTCTGAATCTTCATCTTAAGCATGTCGAAATTATAACATATCAGAATAAAATTATCAGACACCATGAGATTGGAAGGGATATCTGATTAAATAGCCTCCATCAAAACTGCTTCAATGTAACAGTAGTTTTACACGTTGACTTTGACAACTACTTCATTTCACGATTGTAAACTAGACAAATTGAGCGCTTCTCGTCATGCAATCGCAAAAAGTTTATTGATACGTAAAACCCAAGCTGGTCGTAATTAATATTTTCATAAAAAATTTTGTAGAGAAAGCAGAGAGAGCCGGTTCATTTTTACCTTCCTTCCTTTCTTCTGATGGTATCTCGCTTCGCTTTGATATTCCGCCTTCTCCAGACTCGCCCGAGGTTCCTGATTCACCGGATTCCTCGGACTCGTCACTATCGCTGGAAGTCTCTCCTGAAGCGCTAGAACCACTCAAGTCTATCAAAGATAAGTCACAAACTCAATTTTATGGTAAAAACTTCCAAGCAGAGATTTGACTCTCGGCAATTACGATAAGAAAACTTCTTCTGTGAGTAAGCGTGAGTGGATGTAAACTGGCGAAAAGTGTTCTTTTTATGAATTCACGATATTTATAAATATTCTCACATTGTACGGTTTGTACTGCCTACAAATATCTGACTTTGACACAAATTTGCAAACAAGGTCTTACTCTGTCAATCCTTTATAATTGTTTACAACTCTCACTTTTAATAGGCATTTGAGTGAAATGATTTGTAATCTTGACCTTGGTGGTGGTTTTCCCCTTTCTAAGCTTAGTTTGGTATGTAAGAATTTATGGGTAGAAAAAAAAGTGTTCTGTTTGGTTGCACCTTTTTCAGCATCGCTGGTATCTCTTGAAATTGTATCTCTCTTAGTGATCTCGCTCTCTCCAGACTCCCCTGATTCTCCGCTTTCTCCTGATTCTCCACTTTGACCACTTTCTCCACTTTCCCCAGACTCTCCGCTTTCTCCACTCTCCCCTGATTCTCCGCTTTCACTGCCCTCTCCAGATTCTTCTCCTGATTGGTCAGACTCTTTGGTTTGGTCCGATTTCTCAGTCTGTGCAATTTCAGCCGGTTGGCTTCTTTGTTTGGTTTCAGGAAGAACTTCAGACTTACTGGTTTCTTTGTCCGCTGATTGATCGGATAAACTGCCACTGCTAGAATTTTCAGCCGCCTTTGAAATCTCCTTTATTGCTGTTTTATCGTAAAAGGGAAGTTTAATAAAGCAAAAGACATGGAAACTACTTATAACGTTTCAAATGCCATGGAAAGCGGCGCAATAAATAATGCAAAGGATTTACACCTAAATTTATTAAAAGAATCATGAAATGATTGATATTCTATGAGTTTCATAATCTGTAAGGTTTTGATCGAGGGGAACCTAGCGTCCCTTTGACTTTTACTCTGCGTTTTGCGCTGTTTCTTCTTGAGATCCTAGAAGATTTTCTTAGGCATTTTTCCCTATTAAGGGTCCATCGCTGACGATTTCGAAGAAGTAAACAACTCAGAATTACCTTTTTGTGTTTCCGTGGGAATTTCACTCCTTTTGGATACTGTTCCGTCACTTGCCTCACCAGATTCCTCAAAGTCTCCCGATTCGCCGGATTCTTCAAAATCGCCGGACTCACCGGATTCTTCAAAGTCACCGGACTCACCGGATTCTTCAAAATCGCCGGATTCGCCTGATTCTTCAAAATCCCCCGATGCACCTGATTCGACAGCATCGCCAGACTCCTCTGACGCACTTGACTCGTCGTTTTCTTTCGTATCTAAAAATTAAATTCACACCGATACTCGTTCCTAAGTGGTCTGTTGATGGTTGCCACTCGCCAGTTACTGTTATTACGATCTATATGGTCCTGTCTTTCTTACTTGTTGGCAAATAATAACATAAGGGAAATTTGATGATTTTAAACGTTAATATAGCCGGACACACGACCTAACATGTACAAGATATGAGATTTTGACCTTCTTTATTAGTTACACAGGATAAAGAACTTAAGTGCGTGGTTACCTTGCTCTTTGGGAATCTCACTTCGTTTGCTAATCGCCGATTCACCAGACTCTCCGGATTCCTCGTTATCTCCAGACTCTCCAGATGCAGCACTCTCTCCCCAGTCTCCAGATTCCCCACTCTCTCCACTCTCGTCAGACTCTCCGGAATCTTCAATTTCATCCGATTCAACCACCTCTTTGAATTCTCCAGAGGCACCGCTTTCCTCACTATCTTCTTGTTTGCTTGATTCTGTAAAACACAAATTTATTAGAAGTGAGAGGTAGAACTGTATAAGGAGCTCATTTTTAGTCTTTACTATGTGTTACCCAACAGCAATTTTGAAATACTATTTGTTTCTCTATCGAAAAGTTAAATGAAAAACCCTTTACCCAAAATACCCTACACGTTACGATAAAGCTGAAAAAAAATATAAATGGTTTTATGGTATCACAAACGGAACCATTATGATTTTTACCTAAGTTCATGAATTTATATTTATGAATACTAGGCATTGGTTTTTACCTTATATTCTTACAAACTTTACCTTTATCTTCCTTTGGAATTTCATTTCTCTTCACCACATCTGACTCAGCATCAGATTCCTCAGAATCACCGCTTTCTCCTGATTCACCAGACTCCTCGCTGTCCCCCGATTCTCCCGACTCTCCGCTTTCTCCTGACTCATCCCCGTATCCTGATTCTCCAGATTCTCCGCTTTCTCCTGACTCAGCAGCGTGTCCTGATTCACCAGATGCCCCACTCTCCCCTGATTCACCAGACTCATCAGAGTCACCAGACTCTCCTGATTCGCCAAATTCTCCTGAAGCTGAACTTTCGTCGTCCGATTCTGACGTTGCTGTCTCATCTTCAACCTTCTTTGGTTCTTTTTCTTGAGTTTGGTCAGAGGAAACTTCGGTGGATCCCATGGGTGTTGTTGGTTTGTTTCCATCTGACTCTCCCTGGCTAGAATCACCGGATTCTTCGGAATCCTCGGAGTCACCAGATTCCGATGTGGAACCAGACCCATCCATTTCCTCTTCGTCATCATCATCGTCATTGTATTTGGCATTACCTAAATTTCAGAAAATGATATTGGTGATGGTTACATTTAGAAACGCTTTTGTCGTCTGGTCAAGCTGAGTGGGTGTTATACTAAGAATTTTAAGAATTACGTTAACATATAGCAGTCAAGAAGTCGGGATATGATTTATGAAAGTAGCGATATAATCTCCATACAGATACACTTTGGTGAAAAAGAATTTCTCTTTTTGCTTGTCGTTTTACTTTGATTCTGTCTTGAAGATATCTTGCAAAGGTTCTTCAGCAACGCAATACATTAAAGTTTGCAGTTTATCTCAATAACCTGACTGTAGTACCTTCTTCAAATACTTCTGTTGGGATGACGTTTCTTTTTACAGCCACACCAGATGATTCTAGGTCTTTTGCGAACGCAGAGGCTTCATTTGTGTCCTCAGCTTCGTCGGATGATGCACTTTCTCCGGATCCGCTTGAAGGCGCGTCCGTTGACTGGTTTGACTTCCTTGACTCAACAGTTTCTCTCCTTTCTGACGACTCATCGTCGCCCGGTTTAAAAATTTTCGGAATGTCACTTCTTTTGGAATATTCTATAAGGATAAGAATGATACAAAGTTGAAGCCATTTACTATGTACTTTAATATAAACAGTCACGCCTCTTTATGGGACTGTCTGTGGTATAATGCAATACCTGGGATATTGATTGGTTTTGCAAGCTGTATAATATGATTGCACATACCACGTTCGACAAAGATGATGCGTGCGCGTATTTTTTTGCAATGCTTTTACGACTAAAGCGGCTGCCAGAGGCGCCTGATTATGCTGACGTCCGATCTCAACCTTAGTATATATTTCATGAGGTATTTTATGAAATAGTTTCAACTAACGCAAACTCATAGAATAAGTGAAGAGTTTTGTTAATTCAACACACAAGGAAAAGAATAACATTCGCATGTGTAATACCTGTGTTTTCTCCTTCTGAGGCTACCGACTCTTCGGATTCTTTCTCGGGCTCTGAATCTTCTGAATCTCCTGAGGTTAATGGCTGATTCTCGCCCGATAGTTCACTTTCAGAGGTCTCTGCCTTTGCATCCTCTGCTTGTTCTTTGGGATCAGTCTCGTAAACTGAATGTTCCTCTAATTTGTTTTCTACCGGAATAAAACTCCTTCTTTTCTTTGTAAGATATTGTTTGTCACTAATTTCATCATTGGTTTCTACATTGCTTGTGCCAGGTATTAGGCTGCTTACTGTGCTGGACAACTTTTCCGACTCATCTTCCTCATTATCTTGAAATAGAGCAAATAATATCGGTTAAAACAGGAATCATTCCTTGGTTAAATCTTGTTACCTTTGAAATTGTTGAAGACATAGTGGCCTCACGGTCAGTGGACCGGACTCCATGTCCAGAGGGGTCCGTGTCAGCTAGACCTGTCTGGATCAATGTGTTATGCTTTTGGGCAAAAAATTTACTCATGTCTTAGTGCCTCTCCGGCCGGGCTCCACCCAGGAGTGTTAATGAGCGACTTGTAAGGGAAGCCTGATGAAATACTGGCTGGCTGGCATTTTTTTACTACCTTTGAAACTATACAACGAAGGGGAAAAGTTACAGCATAACCATTTCCAGGGCCGTAGCTAACATGAGGCAGGACGAGGCTATTGCCTCTTCTTGATTTTGTCCCAAGATTGACTTTTCTGAAGAAAAATGCCATAGGAAATGCTTAAAAAAGCATTTCTGAGCCTCCGGATTTCAAAATTTTCTGGTGGGGCATGTCCCCAGACCCCCCTAGCGGCTCGCGCCTTCGGCACCCGAAATTTGCCTCGTCTTGTTCTGAATTCTGGCTACGGCCCTGATTTAATCTGCTTCTGTACTGAGGGGCTTGTGATTGTCTTTTTGTCCACTATGCATTACTAAAAAGAGAGAGGCTTCTGTTCATAACTTATTAAAATTTGAAGCTGCAGCAGTCCTTGAAGAAAAAAAGATTTCTAAAAAAGTTTTCTATCCAAGGAGAGTAAGGTCATGAAATATTACCTGGTATTTCCGAACGGCGCGTCTTGTCCCCGTCCAGAATTGCGTCCACTATTGCAGAAATTATTGTTCTAACTGTGGATGAAAGCGGAATTTTTAGAGTAATGAGCTTCATTTTGACGCGACTTTCCATTGATAAATGATTAACAATCTTTCATACCTTCTTTGTCGGCTTCTAGGTCATCTGCATCTCTTTTATCTCTCCCTGTTGGCGAAAGATACGAGTGCTTATTTATGGAGGATATCAATTTTTTTGGTCATAATAGCTTAATATGCAAACAAAAAGTCTTTGTAGAAAAACATGGTTCGAATTATTGAGTGGCTCAACCAGTACAATGTATCTAAGCTCGAAATGATGAACTGTATTCTGTTCTCTTGGACGACGGTAGTCTTGGAATCGACTTTTATTGGTGACAATGGTAACTGAGCGGAACTCGACATCAGAGTCAAATTCTGGCTCTATACTTGATACCTCCCCTTTCAGCAGATTACAACTTCAATAAAATGCACCACTTTAAAAAATTGAATAGTTAAATTCAGAAATGAAGAATGATACCTGATGATTTCTCTATATGTTTCCTCGTTTATGACGTGAGTTTTTTTTTCTTTTTACTGTACTGACGTTCAATTGTGAAAGTCTAATTAAAAAATAATATAACAAGTAGCTGAATTCACAGAATTTGAATATTCGCGAAGCAGTTACACCATATTTAACACGGTTTCGCAGTTTATTCGCCACCCGAAGTCTACAACGTCCAATCGCTGACGTACATGTAAGTTTTAATATAATACGTCGCTAAAACCCTGTTTTAAAACTATTCCTTTTACAGATATTAACACCTTTGCCTAAGTCTTAAAAAAGAATAATTGTCTTCGTGTAGGTTATGTGATTATGGAATTAATTCCGCAAAAACTGAATGAATTACAAAAACTGATCTACCCTCTTTTGGATGGTGTTCAATTTTTTAAGGTCATTTGCAAGGCAGGCCCTTCAGGGTGAAATCTTAACAGAGACCGAATTGAGCCACGAGTTATTTTAACAAAGTTATCAGTAGTAATAGTTATTATTATGGCAATTTCATTTCACAAAAACTAACCCATTTTTCACCGAATATTCTAAACCTTCGAGATTCAGCTATCTTTTCGAAGGAAATGCAAAACAGTTTTGTCTGAAGAGGAAGACCAACTCATTTACAGTATTCTGCAGAATTTTTCTGATTTAAAATTTGTTAACATTCGCTCCTGTATCGCTTTAATAGCGTTTTTAAACTTAAACGGAAGCAAAGGTGGCGCGATGTACATTTAGCAATTAATTTTCCTTCTTTCCATGTAGCGTACGTAATTGTTCCAAATGTCATTTTCACAAAAGATCTCAAATGGATTGTTAAAAGAAATGTAGTGCAAGTCTTTAATTGAGTCAAAACTGGTGTAGCCGTAATTCTTTGTTGTTTTGTCATCTGCAACACTCCAGGAAAGACTTTGCTATAGGTGATGTATTTGCGAATTGAATAAAGAGGATAAGTTTCTGAAGAAATATGACGCTACGTCGGTGGGGGTAGGGGTCAGGGTTATTTAGAGATAGTTTCGCTTTGTTAACTGAGTTCATGTGAATTGGCCGCAGTAAAGAGCTTCTAAAGCTGAGGTTTCGTGCGTTTGGGCAAATTGGCCTGGAAACACATTACGCTGTGCACGACACACGTTCACTCTGAATTTAGCATCAGACTTTCCCGTACCGTATGAAGGTTTTAACAACCACCCTGACATTAACCGTTTCATTATTATGAGCCTCCTTTTCACTAATGTTGGTAATTGAAAAACTCTGAAGTAAGAAGAAATGTTAACGTTTAAGCGGGAAAGGGTATTACGACAAAACTTGACTCAGGTCTTGTATTCATTAGTCAAAAGGGTTGTAAAAGCATGTATTGCAGGTTTCTCGTCAAACGCAGACAGTATGCATATGCAATTACAACCGAGTTCTTCACAGTTTTCATGGTTGAATTGATTCGTTTTGGATATAGTCTAGTTTGAGACTGAAACGTCTTCTTTGTGAAAATGTGATTTAATTTTATCAACTCAGAGTTTATAGTGTAAATTGGCCACCGTAAAGAGTTTCTAAAGCTGACGTTTCGAGCGGTAGCCCTTCGTCAAATATGCTTACTTCTCTTTTAATATAAAGCCGACGTTCCTAAATCTAGATTTATAAATAAATAAATGGTGACGCTCTCCAAAACGAACTGTTATCGAAAGGGCTTTAAAACGGCAAAAGCTTAAAGGCCAGAGGAGAATATTTATGCCATTTATGTATGACGAGCCGAGACATTACACAACGGTTTTTAGGACATGATCCACCTGAAATCACAGAGACAGTGACCCATGGAATTACCACCTAAGGTGAAACTATCTGCCGCTTGCCCGTGTCATATGTCGCAAATCATGACTGACTCTACGCCAACGCGCTTTGAAATGAAATAATCCTTTCATAACGTGTATGATCGTCAAACATAAATTTAAGAAAAGTAGTCTAAACACAAAAACACCAAAACGTTTTTGTGAACATGGGATAAACTTTGCTATAGATTGCAGGTTTTCCAGTAAATATCCTATCCGTCTCAACTAAGTCAATGCGTAATTCCCGAGATCTCTATGATCATTTTGAATAGTAATTATCAGCTTTAGTTTAGTTTAGTTCTTTGCTTGTTGAAAATACTCTTTGAGAGTTAAATTTTGGCCCCTAAGTTTACAGTGATGGGAAGTCACCGATGCGGAAAAGAGAGTACGTTAAGAAGGGCAATTTCAGTAAATGTTGTGCAACCCTGAAACCCATTATCTTGCCTAAATCGTAAATATATTTCAGAAATAAATTTGAAATCACTTCAAACGCACTTCAGACATTCCAGTCGAAGCTCTTCAAATATTTTAAGTCACTTTATCTCAATTTCTATTTCCGAACACGGCAAGTTACATATTTAATGAACTCAACAATCACAACTAATTGAATAAAGCCAGGCTTTGAGCTTTTACCGAATACATCAGTTCGTTAAGAAATACCCAAAAGATAGATGATCTGTTAGTTTGATCACTCAAAACAAATCGATCATTAGAGGGCTAGGGGAATCAAGGATTTTATGGCCACCATACAATCGCGACCAACTTGTTTTGAGTTCGATCTCTGATCTTACCAAAAATATTGAAAATAAGACGCGTACTTACGTGAAATCGGCGACGCCTGAGATAACCATGCCAGGCAAAGTATAAGAAGCACCCTAAATTTCATCTCAAATGAGATAAGGCCGTCCTCAGACGACAAAAACCAAAGCGAAATATTCAGATATTTCTCTCTTACATTTACCAGTCAAAAGCTATCTCAGAATTTTAAATCAGCCAGAGATTGGCTTTTGGCGGACCACCCGCAGCAGACTACGATGGAAGCCTGGACCTGTACCTACTTCGCCAATGACTTCATAGGTTGAGAGAAGGGTCGGAAAGCGTCGTGGCGCTAACCAATCAGAGCTCCGATCGTCTACCTGGTCCATATTTGGAAGTTGAGGCCACGCTTGACTTGCAAACAATTAAAGCGTGCACCAACGGTATTTGTTTATGAACGAAACGGATAAAGCGTGAAGTTTTAACATAACTTAGAAACAAAAAGTGCGTCGCGTTGTTACGCCAAGGAAATCATTAATCAAACAAATAGCGCCATTGTTTTCTATTGCTAGGTGGAACGAATTAGAGTTACCTGGAGGGTTTTAGTTTAGTACAACTTTGAAAGTACATCTTAGACATTTAATGTGCAAATAATTGCACTACTTATCCAACAGCGAGATCTCGCGATATCACGCGGGAAACTGGTACCCGCCAAAACTTCACGGTTTTCTTTGCGACTGGTGGTACATTTTTATTATGTCATTTATACAAAGCATTACCGTACGGTTTTTGGTCTTTAAAACTTTAAGACGTGCCAGTGATGTAATATCGAATCAAATTTTATCAGAAAAATTCCAATGTTTGAAATCTTTATTGCAAAAAGTTGATTAGAAAGAAACAACCGAACCAACAGGAATCTTTTTAAATTATCTTAATGGACAATAAATCACAGAAAGAATGGTTTAGTGTCTGAGTAATCAAGCGTTTGAAGTGAAAACTGTTGAGGGAATATTGAAGTGTTACAGCACTCAAAGCTGTTAACACATGCCATAAGCTGAGAGCATTGAATGGTCAATAGTTATTGGCAAAAGAAAGATTTTAGCAGAATGCAAGTTTATGATACAACCTCGAGATAAAGAAATCACCCACTTTCTATAACGCGAAACATTATTTCACTGATATTTTGTACTTGCTGAGGAAGAAAATCAAGCACTAACTCTATACACGAGTTAACAGTTACAAAATAATTTGAGAAGGAATGCGCGAGAGCGTTCAAAATGAAGTGAACGAGTGCGATGTTTATAATTTTCGTTTATTCTTCAAAAGGACGCGAGATGTTAATATTACAACATTGAGTTTGGTATCAACCAGTGCTGAATAGCAAAAGACGATGAAAAGTCTTGATATCTAACAGGGATCAGTTTTTTTTGTGAGTCCACATGGTTAAATTGAAAACAAAAGCTTTGGATGAGAATGCACTTGAAGATAAGAGGCCCTAATTTGTGAAAGTAAAGTTCAAATTGACTTACTTTTTGAGACTCTAAAAGCGAGAGACAGTTTACTAATTAGTTTACGTAATTTATTATGTAAGGCAACAGCTTTACTTATATCCACAAGCACCAAATCTTAACTTGATATCTCTTCATTTTATCATCCTCCAATCCTTTGCGATCATTGCGATTTTAAAAAACTTTGGGGTTCCATGGGAAGGTTATCTGTCCTGGAAATACTTCGCTGATACTTCTGGCTCAAACCGTTTGGGTAAACATCAATTAAATGGCAAAGCAAACAAAAAACAAACATAGTAAAACAAACAGTCTACCAATAGTAAACTAACTAAGGAGGACTTGAAACAAAACTTGAAGTAAAAATGTAGGAATCTTATTCTGTTCTGTATTTTAGATTATGATCATTATTATATAATCCTTCATAGTTTAAAGTGTTTTTTTGCTCGAAACGTTGTGTCTGATCATCGGACGTGACTTCGAGCTCACCTTTTTCCTCTTGAGTTGAAATATAATATCGCAGCGAGCCCTCGTGGACCACTGAAATGATGCATATATAACAGTTCGATTCCAATCAATACCTGCAACAACGAAACAAAAAAAGTTAGCATCTTCTTCGAGTGAACTACAAAAAGGAAAGAAAAATATAATCTGTTTTTCAATAAAATATAGTTTAATCAGTGAAATTGAGAATTTGGAACTAAATAAGCAATAGCTTCTATTTGGCGCTAAAAAACGTACGGATATTTGTTGGCAGACTTTATCTGTTCAACTTGAAGATGCGAACAGTTTTTCGAGAGCAAAGCTCGAGGAAAACTGTGAGCTTGGAGGAACAGATAATGTCCAAGGAAAAATATCCGTATACATTCTCGCGCAAAATAGAGGCTATTGAGTTTATTGTCCTTCAAACGCTGTTTCAATATATGCGGAGGATTATGCAAAGGTTCCTGGGTTTTATGAATAATATAAAAGAGGTAATGAATGAGCATTCGTAAAATAAGCTTCAATTTGCGATGTCAGGATTGTAGCCACAAGGTTGGATACAAGAATTCATTCTAGTTTGTGTGGTATAAAGCGACAAGAGTACCATGTTTACTCGAGTAAGCGCAGCGGCTCTTCTATAATTTTTGCGCCTCAAGTGAGGCGCGTGTTCGAGGAAGGTGCTCATTCAAAAATTGAACGTGACGAAGAAATATGTCCCCTTGATTTAAAGGATATTTTCTATCTTTACGTAAAATTTACAATGAAGAAATGTAAAATGGTTTCCGTGTTTACATAACCTGATGTAAACACGCGGGAGGTTGGGAGAATACGAGATAAGCGTAGGAAACCACGACGCGAAGCGGAGTGGTTTCCAGCTTATCGAGTGTTCTCCCAACCTCCCAAGTGTTTACATCAGGCTACGTAAACACGGAAACCATTTTACATTTCTTTCATAAAATAACTAATGAAAGAGGAACGAAAACCGTGTTTACATACACTCATGTAAAATGGTTTTATGGCCAATCAGAGCGCGCGTACTATTTGAATTATTTTATAATAAATAACAGAGGCGTCTTTTGATTATCACCATTCATCCCTTCTGGCACTTTTTAACTGCATTACCTGTGGTGTCTTAACTCAACTTCTGAACTTTTCTTGATCCAAGAGTACGAGGGTACGCCTCTTGTACGTCTGAATCGGTGCATATTTCAATCTCGTCCCCTCAGAATATCTAAATGTGAATGAATCATTGAATCTTGCGCACGACTTCTTCGAATAAGCGCCGCACCGGGGTTACGGCACTTATTCGAAGGCGGCGCCTTTCAACTTTTCTGCCACGAATGCGGCGCTTATTCGCGGCGGGTGGCGCTCATTCGAGTAGTACAGTATTACAACTTCCACTGAGTTTTGAGTTAGCCTATCACATTTTACCCTCACCAGGTCTCTCTGACATTTTGTAGGTTTCACTATAGACTCCTGGGAAGGAGACGCTCGGTGACAGCGACGTGTCCTCCTTTTAGCTGCACCAGCCTTCTGTCCTTTTCATTCAACATTTGGTAGAGTTAATGGGTGATGGCTTTTATGGCTAACGGTTAAAAGTTTGGCCAATTTACGGCTAACGGTTGCTATCATTCCATTGTTGTCACCATAAATTTTTTTATGGTTAACTTTTTTTTACGACTATCGGTCCAAATTTGTCAATTTTTATTCCTAACGGCTATCTTTTTTGGCCATTTTACGATTAATGGTTAACCCCATTGAGACCCTGTTGATGGCTAATAAAATAGGGAACATTATTTGCGGTTTCCAGACAAATAGAGGTAAGCACGAAGCCTTTTCGCTTACGGTGTGCTTCCTTCCGATTGACTGAAAATGCGAAAATAAACGATGCATGGTTTGCAGACTGAACATTTTGTTCGATCCGTTTAATACTTTAGAGAAGCAATAGATTACAAAAAATAAAGATATCGACCGTCTTGGGTGGCGCTGTTTCCTCAGCGACAACATGACCAATAACTGTCCTTTTTTTATAGAGCTCATCGCCGGCTCTAAAAAATTACGAGCTGAAAACGAAGAAATAAACACTCTGATTTCGATCGTATAAGTAACATTAAAATCCAAAAGGGGACTCAGCTCAGTTCCCCGCGGCCCTGGCCACTTTCTCCCTTTTCCTTTCCTCGGTCTCCATGGCGGTATTTATAAGTTGATTCATCTTTCTTGGACAAGTCCCACGTCGATTATCCAAACAATTCATTGTAAAACAAACTTAGCGAAAAGAATTGTTTATTATTTCAAAAATTTGATGTTGTGCTCTGATAACTGGAAGCAAATGATCATCCTTACGCAATTTTAAGTATGAAAATGTGGACTACATTTTATTGTTGTATGTAATACTTAATTACAACAAAGCTATCATCCTAAGCCTTTTTAATTTGCGTGAAAAGGTTCTTTATATAGTTTTCTTAATGTGGCATGCAATTGTTGTAAATACTACGTCCTAAATTGTGCTACTACTTATTTCGCCTTGAATTATGAATGAAAGGACAGCTTGTGATAATGGCTTTTCCCTGGTTAATTTTACAACCAATTTAAGTGCACAAAAAAAAAAGGTCGTTTTTGCCGCCATGTTTCATTTAATTAAAACTTCTGTTCTAGATTGAAAATTGTTCCCCATCGTCAGAAATGTACACCATCTGGACCAATTACGTGCTTGCACTGTTCGACACGTATTCTGGCAGGAGGTATGGATATGGCAGAAAACCTTCCTTTACTCGCTTATCGTTGGCTTTGGTTATCTCTTGGCCTACATTCTTGAGTTCGTCGTGAAACTTTGCAACTACTTCTCTGCCTTTGTTACCTTCAATCTTTGTTGAATAATCGAGTAACTGATCGAGGTGAATTCCTGCCAGGTTAGAACTTAGTTCGGCTATTTCCTGTCACGGTAGAAAAGGTTATGATAGGTAAGATGAGAAAAAAACTTATAAGCTGTCAAAAGGCGGGCTACTTTTATAACTGAAATCAAATTATACCCACCGTGCGTAAGAGGTTATATTTGTCTAAATGAAACTCAGGAAAGCGAGTTTTACGAGGTCGAGCGGGCCAATTTTGGGCCATTATTCTCTAATTTAACCTTTTAATTTGTCTCCTCTGCGGTTATGAACGAGTAATGATGTCATCACACTCTGTCCGATGACATGGGATAGACGAAATTGCGACTTTTAGCCG